GACATGCCCAGCACTTCATTTTCAAAAACTGACAATTGCTGCAGTCACCATCATCGCCCCGGCAAAGCCTGCAAAACTCACGATTGCATGTAACACACGAAAATTCAGCGTCCGGGTGCCTACGGTCGTTGGGGTCATCGAGGGCACAAATCTTTGGCGCACCTGGGCCACGGTGCCGGGAGCGCCTCCTGTGGCCGGTCAGATGGAGCTCCAGGGTTCCTCCACCTATCGCCGGGACTCGGGACGTCGGCACTAGCTCTGCTCCCAGGAGTCCTCCAGTCATCGCCGGGACTCTGGATATCGGCATGGGCCCTAATACCCCTACCACCTCCTGGATGACGGTCTGGGTTCGGAGAGACGTTCCCGCTATCGCGGATCGGTCTATCCAGGTTCGGAGAGATACTCCCGCTATCGCGGATTGGCCTCTCCCCCCTTGATTGCCGACTTCGGACCTCAGATCCCCTATCGGGGACGGCGGCAGGCCGGGGGTTCCTATTCCTACCCACATCCCTATCGGGAGAAACAGAAATGTCCCCCCTTGCGCGCGCGCGGGGGCCATCCCTCGCACGCCCTGGCGGTGAATGCGATCTGTCAGGCAATCCCCGAGCCCTCCTGCTTCTGCTGTTAGCCCCCTCCCTATCGGGATAAATGGGATGCCTGTCTGCACGAGAAGGATCGACCCTACCGGGCACATCTGGCAAAGCGTGATCGACCAAATCGACACCTCCGCCCGGTCTCACCGGAAGGCCAGTACCCCGGCCATTACCTTCTCCGGGAGTGGGCGTCGGAGACCTGATTCTGTCCCGCGAAAGCGTCGTATCCGACGTTCCGTCTCTCTCTAGGCTGTGGGAGATTTGCCTGATTGTCCTGGGCACCCTGAATAATGACAGCGGCCTCATCAACATGACCTTCAATTTCATAGAGCTGAGCCATGATCCTGTTGTTCATTCCGTTAAGAGTACGAATGTTGCTCTCAACATTGTTGATCCTCCTCACCGAGGCTTCTAATGTGTTACGGAATGATTCCAACTCGCGCCTAACGACAGACCGTGCTTGCTCAGTACTCACTGGAAGGCTACGAATCTGCCCCCTGATGTCATCAAGAACTTGATCCAGAACTCCCGAGCTCGCCTCAGACCGCTCGACACGGGACTTCACGGTCTCAAACCTCGAGATGATATCGTCATGATCCCGACGTTGACGTTGAACTTCGCGAGCTAGGTCCTGAATCTTCCGATTGACCTCGTCAATTGCCTCATGCCAGTCCTGCGGGGAATCATGCCCTGATGGTCTATCGACCTCCTGGGATCCCCTTCCGTGTTGCAGCCTCGACATCCGATTAGCAAGAAGGGTATGCTCTTTATTTATGCCTTCAATAGATTCGGAGGCCCACTTAGCAAACTTCTCGTGTTCAAGGAGAGCTTTCTCGATCTTCAGGTTTAACTCCCTGAAATTCGCGTCAACCACACTGCTGCTGGCCCTATCGGACGGTTGCGCGACAGGATTCGGGTTCCATATACCTGCTGGCGTCCGCATCCCGACGGTTTTCTCTACCGAGAACATTCGTTTCTCAAGCTTATCCAAATCCTTGAGGATCTCGTCCTCGGAAGCAGCATGGCTCCTGCGGGTAGCCTCACTATTTTCGTGAATCTTCTGGCGAAGCTGATCTGTTGCGAGTTCACTGTCCTTAACAGATTCGTGAATCTCGTGGGAAAGCAGATTGATCCTCTGCTCGACGACTTCAGCCTGTTCATCGATGGCTTGCCTCACAATGGCATTGCTGTCAGGAATAACTTCCCTTGCAAACCGTTGAACTATCATTCGCATCCTCCCGGCATCAGATTGAGTCGCAACCTCAGCTGCCAGGCGATCGACCTTGTCTTTCGTCTGTCGGCTCTCGTCACTCCATTCCCTTCGCATGGAACTCACCTGACCGTTCAGTACCCTGATTTGGTCAGCAAAGATATGGAACGCCTTCGCGACTGAGCCAGAAACCTCACCCCTTTCGAGCATCTCCTGGATGTGCAACTCGAACATCTCCTTTGCCCTGACGTCACCTGATTCGCCAGAAGACTGAGATCTGAGGGCGGGAGGAGTCGATATCTCGATCCTCTCAGGAGCCCTACTAGCCCCGGCATGCCTTCTTGGGTCATCTACGGGACAATCATCAATCCTGGATGGCCTACTCGGGGTGGATCCCCTTCTCCGGCTATCGCCAGATCGGGGATCAATGTTGGATGCACGTGACTCGGGGGTGGAGTGAATGTGAACATCAGCAGGATCAGGCATCTCCTCATCCTGCGGAGTTGAATCCATTGGTGAGGGGCTAGCCCTCCTCGCCTTTGACCTATCGGTCTCAATGGCCAGGGGTGACGGTCTCTTCGCAGAAGCACTACGTTCCCTGGCGGTCGAGCCCCACTGAGGTGTGAACTCGTTGCTAGACCTAAGTGTTTCAAGGTCACTAGTATCTCGCCCTAACGGGCTAGCGATCGACGGATGATCCTCGATTCCGAGTGCATCGGCAAGCCGGCCATCTCTTGCACCTCTCCCAACGACATCGGCAACCCGCTCAGTGATCCTCGGCGAACCAGTAACCCGGTTCGAGTTCACGTCTCTCTGATCCAACGGACCTCCAAAAGTAATGTTGGGAAAAGGGGGAACATTCGGGGTATCACCAATCGCCGGGGGACCTACCGGTCCCTCACGGTCATGGATAGCCTCCAATCCCCGAAGAACTTCCCGACTGTCCCTGGCTCTCTCTCTCTCGCTTCGGGCGTCCCTGTCAACACGAAGGTCCCTGGCGGCTCCACGAGAGAGGCTCCTGGGCCTCGCAGCATCACGGATCCTAGCACTTCGTCGTGATTGGTGCTCCTCCTCATCACGGCGATCCGCAAATGCGGCATACTCGTCATCATCATTTACCTCAAACTTGGCAGCGGCAGGACTAGTCCTTGCAGCCGCACGGTTGCCTGCACTTCGGCGCGAATGGCTCTCCTCCTCATCCGCAAAATTGTAACCTCCGTCATCATAAGACTCAGATTTGGCAGTAATAGGGTTGGGCCTACCGGCATCAGATCCCTGCTTTGAGCTACTGCCCCATCCTGCGGTCGATTTCAACAGATCATCGTATCCGAAGTCTGAGAACTTCCGCTCCTCGTGCTCATCAAACTGACCTGGATTCTGAGAACCAGTGGATCGGCCCGGGATACCTCCCGGAGCCAGAACCATAGTCCCTGGTCCCTGCGGCCTATTCTCAAACTCATCCGAGACCTGCGACTCACCTGGAACAAGAGATCTCGGAGGTCGAATCGGCATGGCCTCCGGGTCATCCGAATGAGGGCGGGCCATGTCCATCGCCATGCTGATGAAGTCAAAACGTCCACGCCTGTGACCTGATTCAGAGCCACTCCTATCGGAGTAAACCCTTCGTGTCTGCTCGTCATCAGTGGCCTGGCGGAAAATACGATCGTCTCCATCGTCGGCGTACCTGCCACGGCTCCTGGGTGTATCCCTACCGGGATCTTCACCCCTGCGGTCCTGACCTGTCGAACCTGCTTCGAAATCCTCGTAGTCATAGTCCGGTAGGTCCTCACCTGAGCGGAGGCCACCTAGGATGGCCTCCTCATCCACGACGCTCCTTCGAGATCGTGGGGTCGACATAGAGCTTGTAGTTGATGGTCTCAAGCGCGTAGGAAAGTCCTACGGCTGATAACCTGTGATTCGGGCACGAGCCTGTGCCCAGGCAATGGGTAAGTTGGGGTAAACAAGCCACAAAAGAAAGGTTCCCCAAAAGCAAACCAATCCCCGGTCCCAAAGATCAGGGTTTCCCACACACCAGAGAACAACAACCAAAAGGAAACAAACCAAACAAGAAAAGGGTTAACCCGCAACCTTGGTCGACAACAGGCCGCACGACTGGTCCCTACCAACCTGGCGGCGGCCCGAGGTCTCTTTCTCCCCCGAGATGCCGTCGGTCGACGCAGGGGTTCGGCGACGCCCATTCGAGGCGCGACGGAACCCAAAACTTGAGCCAAAACACCACAGGTCGGTCACTAACGCGACGTTCCTGATGATGATATGAACCATGGCTAATCACATTACATTATACACCGGAACATTGCCTTGTAAATGGTCGGTTCCCTTTATTTTGGTGGAAAAAGCCATGTTTCAAATGGGCAAAATGTATCTTTTAAGGAGCCCTGCTCTGCATGGGCAAATGCGCGCATTTTTGGCGCAAATGCGCACAAGGACCGGCTCACACTCAAAGTCTCAAGAGCGGCCCATGCTCCAAAGCCGCAACCGCCACTCATTGAATTGCAATTTGATAAGAACAAATGAAGACATGCTCAAAAGTAAGGGGTAGATGGGGATGAACAGTTCCTGAGGATTCCACTGTCAGCTTTACACATGTCTTCCCACCTCTATGCAGGGCCAATCCCAGCTCGCGAGAGCAAGTTACATGCCAGATTCGAGCAGATCAAGTCAAACCCGCCTGAACCAACCGCATTTTAATCGTGGCCGTGATTGACGAAAGAGTGGTAAACACCGCAGAGTTCTGAAGCGTTTTTTTCAGCAAACTGGTGCATGCAACTTGCAACATGGCGAATGCGGCAGTCTCAGAAACCCTATCTTTGAGAAAGGGACTTTTTGCCAGGCTGGTCACGTGCGCGGATGGGCACTTTCAAGAGGCTGCGTTGCTGAAGTTCGGAGTGAAAGTTCACTTCTTGTTTGATGCTTGACGTCCCGAGCTCTGAACATTCGATCGGCCACGAAAGCTGAATTGCTTCAGCTTTCCCTTCCTGGCCTCCGTCCAAAACTTCGACTCATCACAAATCCTTGAAGTGTCGGGACTCTTCGCGCTGAACTGACCTCAAGATTTTATCATGATCAAAGTCACCCCCTAGGTGATGAAGAACCGATCCATTTTCTGACTTTGACAAACCCTAGAAACAACCAAAATAATGACCCCAGCTGAATGCGGGGAATTCTAGGCAAGCGGCCTTCTGTCCAGCAAGTCCCTAAAGCCTCGGCGACATCGCGTGGGCGGAGCGTCCAAACAAGGGACTATGTTGAGGCCCTACAATCTACATCAAACCAACCGTCTGGAAGAGTCACCAATTCTCCTTTTTATGAGGCAGATGAAGCAGACAACAGAATTGTCACCGTTCACAGCTCAGGATGCTTGACCCAAAGCCAAAGGCTGCCAAGCAGATTCCAGTGACCACTTCTGGCTACAGCAATGAGGATCCTGTGCAAAAAAAAAGAGTGGGAATGCATCCCCCCTAACTCCAGGACAAAAAGCAGTGATGGAGGTGGGCGTACCGTTGAATATTAGGCTTTCAGTTCCCCAACTATCAAACGGTTTCCCGGGACAAGTTGCAATGAATCGCATGAAAACACAACATGTCGTGTTGGAACGGGACAATGCAGAATGCTGCCCACATGTCCTTACAATTAAGCCATAAACACGTTAATATTCACTATTGAAAACCAAGTCGACATCCAACACAATAAGCGCGACGTAACTTCCAACCAACAAAATGCATCCGAACAGTGACAAGTAAGGGTAACTTGGCAAGTTGGATGTCCCTGGCTCATTCAGATAGGCGAACCACTTTTGCAGCAAAACACCAATGCAAAATGTTTAGCGATCGTGAGGTTTCAAACACATCCAAACACACCCAGAATCGGGGTTTGCCAGACATGTTTGCTTGGGATTCCTCCAGCACATCCAAACTCATCCACAACCGGAGTTCATCTTCTACCACGTAGGGCTTCGCCGAAGAAAAAACAACTCATCACATCCAATTTCAGCGGAAAGCGCCTTGGGCTCCCTCGAGCTTCTCCGGCACCGGGTGATACTTGTCTTCTCTCAGCTTCGCTGGGACGGGGTCCTGCCGGATGCGTCGATCGGAAGGCGCCCTGCCGGACCTTCCGAATTCCGAAGCGCCGTGGTTGGCTTCGGAAGCAAAGGATCAATTGAAAGTCCAGGGGTCCTTGTACATACCCCTTTTTATACTCACTTGCCCAAAGGACCCAGAAATAAAAGGTTAACCTTTTGGCACCTCCACTAAAAATGGACCAAAACGGGAAAATCAAAAGGTCAAAATGTCGGCTTTGGGCAACTGAGTATATGCCTTGGACACATGAACCCCGACAGGCCAAGTTGGATATGGACTGCCACCCTGGAGAAAAGCAAGAGTATGCAAGAATCTCTTCAACCACCAACCGATTGGATCAAGGCCGGCTTGATTCACATCCAGGAGCCAAGGGGATCCCGTACAGCGTCAGACTCCAGCGGCCAAACATGGTTTGCTTTTTTGGCCAGCATCAGTACTTGTATTACCCGAAGGGAGATGCCTGCCCCAACCCCAACTGAGCAGTTTTGAGACCATGCGGCAGCTGTTCAAACCATCTGGACACAGTCCTCCTCCGCCTTGGCAAGCTTGAACACGGGTTCCTGCCAGGCAAGTTGTCAAATGTGACTAGGTCCTCCAGTAGAGAGCTTAGAATAAGGGTACCCTTTTTTCTGTAGTCTATTTTAGTAGGGGAACCCTCCCCCCAAAAAAGGGTCAAAGGGCACTGCTGGGGGACCTAGGTGACAAACTTCAGTCCGCGCAGTGTGCCCACCATCGCCCTACGCTCAAGCCCCTGCTTTGTAGTTCCTCGCTACTTGGGGGATGGAAGCAGCAATTATGTGGGATGCATTCAACTTGCTGGTGCAATAAGTAGGGAATGAAAAATGGAACGAACCTGGGATTCCCTTAAAGGAAACTACCAGTTGGATGTGTTTTCTCGGGGTCATTCTAATTCTCATTCCCTGCCTCTCTCGCACCGGCAAGTCAATGAAACCCAGCCAAAGCCGTCCGAAGCCTTTGGTGGGGCCTCTCGCTGGGCAATGTCTCTCATGTGCTTCTGGATCGCCTAGGTGTCTGCGCATGCAGCATTTCAATGAAAATGAACCCAGGGTTGCCTACAACCAGTTCAAACTGCCCGCACATCTCTGTGCTTGCTGCCTGCCTGCCTGCTCACCGAGGAACAATCGCAACACGTCACGGAAGACAACAGCGCCCAATTGAGCCAACTCTGGCAACTGACAGCAACAAGCCGTAGAAATACACATCCGAAACCAGTCACGCATGAAAAAAGGCGATCCCCGGGCAAGGTGCGTCGCAGAAATCTCATGGGCAGAACTTGCTGAAGAGCTATTGCGCACGATCAGGGAGGACAAGCAAGACTTAGGCTAGGTCCTCCAGTAGAGAGCTTAGAATAAGGGTACCCTGTTTTTCTCTAGTCTATTTTCGTCGAGGAACCCTCGCCCAAAAAAGTTGGTAAAATGGCACCAATTGCTGGGGGACCTAGTAGGGCTTGTTTTATTTCCTTCTCCCCAAAGAGCGAGTCGTATTCTGCCTTTATGAAGCGGGGCGTCTATGGAAGCTGCAGCTGTGGCTCGGTGAGCTGGTACAAGATCACATAGGAGATGTGCCTAAAGCTCGCTGAGTTTTCGATCTCAGATCCATCTAGCCTGTTCTAGGGCTACCTTCCATGTCCATTCTCACTTGCCCAAAGGACCCAGAAATAAAAGGTGATCACCTTTTGGGGCTATGACTAAAACTAGACCAAAAAGGAGAAACCAAAAGGTCAAAAGGTCGGCTTTGGGCAACTGAGCATTCCAGGGATCCTTCCTTTTCAGGGAACCGAATCTTTTCAGGAAAACATCAAAAACCCAGACGAAACAGATCCGGTTTTTGAAAAAACTATGCTTGAAAAGAATGGAAAAGGAACCAACCCCTAGAACTGTCCTTGATGACAATCAAATGCCCAACCTTTGTTTGAACAAAAACCACCATTCAAGGGTTGTTCCCCCCCCAAAAAAAAAATACAAGGTTTATCCTGTTGAAGGCGCAGGTCATTTGACTCCACAAGATCTTAGGGCTAAGGTCACAGCAAAGAACAGCCATTTTCAATCCAGCTTGCAAACCCATCAAAGTCAGTCGATGGTTGTCCTGAAATGGTATCACTGTCATGTCTCATGTGCTGAGGTACCAAGGATTTACATGAATCGCTGCCTTTCAGACTGACGGACAGGACCAGCCAAAACAGACAAATCAAACACATCAAAAGCATCCAGAAGGGCAAACCAGCGGGGAATATGGTTGATGCGAAAGCTGTCGCCTTGCAGCCTTGCAGCCTTGCCGCAACTCATTCGCAACAGCTGCAGTTGAACTCAACAAAACTCCAAAGCCGCATCTTGTGTCACACAAAGGTGCCAGGAACTTTCTAGAGGCGTTGCATTGACATCTGGGACTGAGGTGTCCCTATGAAAGCCTCGCCTAGCCTGGGATCGTCGCTGTCGTTCATGGACGAGTCCAACCGGGTCATCTCGAATGATGTTGGAGAGGCAGCCGCCAACCGTGCATTGCATTGTCAGAAAAAAAAAGGAGGAAAAAAAAAAAAAAACGATGCCGTTAGACAAAAATTGGGCATCCTGGGTTTGCAGAGCAAGTGAACCTCCATCACCACCAAAAAAAATGCGAAACACCAGCCACAAGTCCAAACATGAGACACCGCAGGCATCATGGCAGAACCGAGATTTGCGCATTATCCTTAGTTGTAACAACAAAACTACCCTGCACAAAAAACTCACGCAAGGGTCTCTCATCATGGCTGTGCTCTCTTAAGCCCCGGGGCAACAGTTCCTGATCAAGTGTCCGTGTCTGGCAACCACTAAGCCTCAAATCCCTCGTCAATTGGCAACAAGGCCCACTCCCCGCAGGGGCGAGTGGAAAGAAGCCCGCCTGGAATCGAACTTTGGGGGTCTAAGAAGTGGAAGGGGGGGGAAGAGGTGTGGAGGGGTCCTTTTAGAAAAGGAGCCCCTTTGAAGACCAGGGAGATCCCCAATAAGCTTCCCGTCAAGGCGCGATTTGAGGCGCGCCAGAGTGTCCACCAGTTCCACATACGGCACAGTTCCCGAGCCTGGCATCGCTCAAGATGTTCAATCTGGTGTGGCTCGCATTTAGGGAACCGGCCGTATCTCAAGTCTCTGACAGGCTAGGTTGATTTTGAGGTTGAAACGTAGGAGCGAATTGCCAATTATATAATATAGTTGCCAAATAGTAGTGTTGCCCCTGCACAACTACCATGCGTCACGTCAGCTCGGAAGTCATGAAGCGTAAGCAGGCAAAACAGTTAAGAGCCTCAATGAGCAAACCGTAGCAAAACATGATTGAAGTTCTCGCCCTGAGGGTCTCCATTGATTTTGGGCCCTCAAAATTCGGTTGTGTCCAAGGGCCCTTGAGAGGTTGAGGTTCTCCATTGGAGGGGTTGGGGGGGGGTCTGCATTGGAGGAGGCATAACCCTTAGGGCAGGAGAGTTTCAAAGCGACGCTTCAACATAAGCCAACAAACACTAAATCAATTCCCAAGAACATGTGCCAATAGGGATTTTTCGATGATGTCCCTCAGTCAGCCCGAAAGGACATGTCTGGGGAATGTAGAAGCTGTTTCCGGGCCAGGCTCGAGTACTTGCAACCCAAAGTCGTTCCTAAGCAACAGCATCCACTCCGCAGCCAAGGTTGCAAGCCATCCCATGAATTGGCCTGCAGCGTGTGAAACAAACTTGCTCGTATGATGCCTTCATGTATTCAGCCACTTGGTTGGAGAGCCGAAAGGTGCTCACAGGCAACTCACGTATGATAGCCCGCCCCCCGCCCTCCCCCCCCCCCGAAACATTCTAGCTCTCTATCTCTCTCTCTCTCTCTCTCTCTCTCTCTCTCTCTCTCTGCCGTTGCGTTCAGAGGGTCTTGACTCAGCAAGGCAACGAAAAAGGTGCCCACTGATATTCAGGGGCACCAACAACATACTAGGACAACCCGGGCAGACATCAAGTAGGAGCCAGAAGGAAACATTCCGGTTTGGAACGTTAGTGGAAGACGGGGAAGGACGGGCAGCCTCTTTGGCCAATGACGCAATCGGCACTGACCAGCCAAAGCCGATGCAGCGCCTGCTCGTGCCGCACGGTTCGTTGACTAGTAAAAGCAGTCGCGTCGAATGTCAGCGACGGATTGCAAAACCAGTTCGGCCCAATTGTATGTCTGGATGGCATGATGAGGGAGTCTGGAAACCCTTTCTCGTGATCAATGCGCTTGTGGTTTCTCAACGGGGGAAGTATGGAACATGGGTATGCAGCACGGAAACAACCTCCTACAAAATGTCCACATTAGCCCCAAGTGACGGCCCAAGTGCACAAACAGCCATCATGCCATGATAGCTTTCCTTGCAGTCCACAGTCGCCTCTGAACAAATCATCCGGGCACGTGTCGATCGGTACCAAGCCTTCAACGTCCAGAACGTCGAAGAGAAGATGCACGTCTTCCAAGAAAACGCCCATCGTCATCAGGCTGCTGGCAAACCTTCCCGAAAGTTTCCGTGCTGCATTGGGAGCATTAGAACACATGCTGAACAGTTGAGGCTTGCAAACTCGACCTGAAGAAATGCCAACAGCTGAGACCATCCAACTGTGGTTTCCTTTTTTTGGGACCTCTGAGTTCATCCCCAACACCCCATGCATGCTCAGCCACCCTTTCTCATTCCGATGGCATTGGCGAAAAGCAAACAACTCGAGAAGGGTGAATTCTGCTGCGCTAAATGCGCGCATAAGCCCAGCAGCTCCGGGTTGTTCTCGAAGCCAGATTTGAACTCGTCCACATCCAAACCTCAGCTGGACACATTCCTTTGAGTCTTGCACGCCTCGAGCGATGGAAATCCATGCACTTGACTTCAGGCTTGACTCCGAACACATCCTGGAACCCTCGAATTTCTCAGGATGCCTGCGGCGAGATCCAAAGCTTTTCTCCAAAACGGGCAACAACACCCACTCTCGGCAAATTCAGGTTTCCAGCAAATAGGCAGCAATGATGTTGATTCTTGATACGCGAGCTTCCAAAACTAGGGAGAACCCCTCTTTGGATTCCGTTTGGCTTCCCTATGATCGAAAGGGGATCCCCCAAAAGAACACAGTGACGCATGACCCTCCCTCATAACCCTGAGAGCCTTTGGCACATGGATTGGCCAAAAAGCTGCCGCTGGCGTCGCTGTCTATGAGCTGGCACAACTCCAGCAGCGTGGCCTTTCCTTTCAGCATCTCATCCTGCCAGCGACCCCCAAACACAATCATGACAATAGGTGCCCTTGTAGGGCGAATAGATGGGTTTCCCTGGTAGATGATCAAGCCGCCAGGTAAGCCAGGAATCGCCAGCTTTTCTACCAAAACAAACAAAAAGGACACCTATGATCATGACACGTACCAGGTTGGCCTTCGGCTCCCTCAAGGCCCTCGAGAGGTCATGCTATGATCCTTTGTCCGTGGCCCCCAATGTGCATCGGCTCACCTTTGGCTCTGTAATGAGCGACCTGCCAAAGGATCATCTCGCGCTCAAATCGGATTGATGTTCAATGCTCTTAGCGTGGCCTGCAATTGGACGAACGGGGGTTGCACATATGAATATCGAACAGTTTCTGGAATTGATTCCCGGACATGCAGCAGCAAAAAGGGAAGGCAGCTAAGTGTTTCTATCGCAAGACCAGATCATGGGCGGCTGTCCCACACTGTCCAACTTCTATGACCTCCCCTCCTACAGCCATTCTCACGACTGTTCGAGCGGCAGCATGTGTGTCTGTGTGCGCGTGTGCACGTGTGCGTTTAGAGGCCCAACAACTCGCAACTCGCCCAATACTTTGCAGCGCTGAGCCATACTGTGCTAGCTTGAAACTACATGCAAACCAACACTCAGCACGCGAGCTCCAACAAGTTGGGAATCCATTCGAAACTCATCAATGAACAAGACCAACTCAAAAGACTAGATCCCGATTCCGCCTCCCGATTCGCTGCGTGTTGTTCCTATGGACTCAGTTTTGAGGAGAGAAGCAGGGCCCACTGATCCACTGAAGAATGCATCCCTTTACTTGTGTTCTTGCTCGCTTGGGCAGGCGAATGGCGCTTTTCAGAAAAGTCGAGGAATTGTAGGCAACTCGACACATCATGTTCACCCCATATGAATCAACCAACCAGTTTATTGTCATAGGGGGGTGCTCCCCTCCAAAAGTCACGATTCCCCACTAAACCAGTGACACCCCCTAGGGCCTCTACTAGTTAAACAGGGGTTGATGAATATGGGTGCGGGTCAAAAATCGGTGTTTTCAAAATGGCTTGCCCTGGTAAAGGGAACCAAGGCCTCAAACCTGCGGTCCCCTATGCTCCAATTCCTGGTTTACTTTTGACCCATACCATCTGGCGTCCACCTCAAATGGACGCACCCCGCCAGCTTGGCCGCGGCTTGGCCCCCGTCCTCCTTGGCCATGGCTCTCTCCATGAGGTCCATCTCCTTGGCCGCGGCGGCACGCTCCACGATGACCTGGCGGCAAACTTCTGCAACTGAAAGCCAGAGAAATGGGTATGGGTCAAAATCAATCCACCAAAAGAACTGCAGAGGTCATGTTTCCATTTACCAGGGCAAGCCATTTTGGACACCTACTTTTGACCCACAGGCAGCCCCATGCCTGAATTTATGATCTCAATGACTCTGAAAAACTCCACTCTCGCTGTGCCATCGGACGCTCCCTGCGAGACACGCGTTTCATGGGCCAGCTCGCAGGCGAATTGCGCTGCGCAGGGGCCGAAGAGTGAGAGATGGACATCCCGCTGGCTTGGAGCACCCTCCCGGCGATTCCATGGAGAGAAGCTCCCGACCAAAAAAACGAAATGGAAGACTTGGCGACCCATTTTGCCGAGGCCAATTGGGGAAGCTTCCGGCGCTGTCTGAGGGAATGTCTCAAGTATCCGGTTGGATGGTCCAAGGTCCAAGGTCCAAGCACTGGAAATCGTGAGACTTGGTTTTAGGATTTCTGAGCGTCGGTCATCTGACCACAGGTACTTGGGCGCTTTGTGAGTGCCGGGCCTTCCTGCTGCAGCATAGCCTCTCTAGCAATACTCCAGAAACCTCTCTGTGGAAAGGAGCCCCGAAAAAGTGGTAGCTCTTGAGAAGCAACATTGCCAGTGAGGGGAGGGTGTATCCAAAAGGTGCTCCCTTGTTGACCTGTCTGGGAGAAAAATGGATAGCAGCACGTTGGCCACAGGGGAGTTGAAAGCTAAATCTCGAAATGATGCGCTATGCTTACGTGTCTGCAGTGCAAACCTCCGACCACTGTTGAACGCAAGCGGCGAGAACCTCAACGCCAAGATACTGCCAGGATCAAATTCAGCATCGCGAGCTGCACGCTGACGAGGACCGACAGGAAGTAAACGCAGGTCCACCTCACGTGAATCGTTTCGGAGACTCTGGCCGGGCTTCAGAGAGCCAAGCGCAGGTTCCACCGAGCCTTTGTTTGATTTTGCCTGAGTTGCGAACATATTTCACCAAGCTGTGCAGCAAGTGAAAAGCCCAGGCTTCTCACCCCACGTGTTTGTCTTGAAACTTGGCAAGCTGCTGCCGGGAAAATTGGACCCCTCTCTGCCCAAAAACACAGGGGGGCGAACTCATGGCAACGCAAAGGCAACCAGGCCATGAGATGCGCATGGACTTCGGTCTCAGGCGCATGGAGTGCTCGATGATCGGCACTGCCAGAAAGCCCCAGCCATCCCCGGCCACCACCGTCTGAAAGATCGTAATCAGAGAATTCCACACCTCAGTCATGCCAAGGGCCCTTCAGACCTGAAACGCCTGAGATTGGCACATGAATCCTGAGGCAACAACCTACGGGCTGGATGGCTGCAGGGTCCACTCGATACGAAACAACATGATCGTAGACAGCTGATGAGTGCTACCCAGCCGAAATCATTGGTCACAAGTGTCACAGCAAGAAAAGCACCTGCAAAACATGACGAGCACATGCGTCAAACGTGCCGCAGCACTCCCAAAGTAGAACAAGCTGTCTTGATGTTGCTCCATCAAACGAAGCGAGCTTCACACATGATGTTTCAAAAATAATCATACCATCATTCACCGAGCTGCCACTACTTTTGAATGAGGGTAGGCCGTTGGCGCGCTTTAACGATGTTTTACTTGTGGTGAGTTGTCAAGGCTGCCTCTAGGCAACGCATCAGTCAGTTGGGAAAGGAGAGCTGGCGACTTTGGCTGCAGTAGCAAAAGTGCTCCGGGAATTGGAATCCGCGAATCTGCGATACAACAAAAAGGCTTCCCAAAGACTGTCCCTCCAAAGAAAAAAGGGAGATTCCCTTGGATCACAAATGTGGGGATAAACCTCTTGATCCCACAACCCTGGTTAGCAAGGTCTTCATGCGAAGGCCGGCTCATGCCCATTGATGGATCAACAATTATAAATACGAAGTGCCTGATACACCACAAGGCTGATAGGCAGCGCACGACGTGGAGTGCACATCACAAGGCCCACAGAACCAAAGATACTGGATCCGCCAGCCGAGCCGCAGATGAAAATGCCCTAGCGCATCGCTCGCAGGTCTCTTCTTGGCCCTCCCAAATCCTCAGAAGGGAAGACTGTCAGCAGCTTGTCTTCTGGCTTCTGGCAGACTTCTGGCTTTGCAAGGACTGCACCTAGAAAAAGACCAGTTTCAATCTGAGCAGTTGTTTGCACCAGGCATCTCCGAACTCCAAAGGAATGGGGAATGAAGAATGTTTTCCCTTCAAGGACCATCCCGGCGTTATCTATGCGAGCGACGAACTTCAATGTCAGGCCGAGCAATGAACATGTTTCTGGAGGTCAAGATGCTCAGTCAGCCAACGGAAAATCAGCTCCATGTTTGTCTCAGCAACACATGGGTATGTGTCAACATGGGCAAACCCAACCCTCCCCCCCAAAAAAAACCAACTTGTGTCAAAATGAGGAACCCCCCTCCAAAAAAAAAGAAGAAAAAGAGGGTGTGCTTCCAGCTGGGTCCCAAGAAAACGGACACCAGAAGAGACCTCTACCGCCCATCCAGGTCACTGCTTGTTGATGGGATGGATGAGCTGCACCTAAGAAGTGGTACAAACCCAAGCAGCATGGGTGACCCATGTCGGTGGAGTTCAGCATATGAGTCATAATCAACACCCGGTACAAAAATGGTGCCCCCAGAACCATGTAAAGACCTAAGAAGGCGGCCGCAGCTATTTATGGTTGGGATCGGCCCTTACTAACCTTCATCTACCCGGGCTTTGATTGTGGCTCAAATGTTTTGTTGCTGGCCATGGTCCCGCGTCCTGAAATTGGGGGAACCTGTTGCGGATGAATTTGTGGAAAGCCCGAAGTCAAACATATAAACCTCGGGGTCCCTTTAGAGGGATGGACTATTCACAAGCTGACCCAATAAGCTCATCAACACGCACGAAGGTGACTGTGTCACTGTCTCCCCCCCCTCCCCCCCTTTCCCAGTCTCCCTCCAGCCCTTTAGCCCTGACTGCAGCTTGCATTCTGAAAATTACACGCACCCCACGGGTACTGTACGGTCCAAAATCCAGCTGCTGACTGCAGCTTGCGATCAATGCCACCGCCCAGAAGAGCCTGCAGGCGTAGCATGCAGGCTGCATTCTGTACAGGGCACAACATGTGGCACCTTGCGCGTTTTTTACGCGTGCCCAAGCAGCACATCGCAGCACTGCGGTTCTGTTCAGCCCTTCTGTTCAGCCCGGTTGATGCATCCGATCATCCGCCAAGCCGGCGGATACATTCAAAAGAAACAGCTCGCTGCCGTTGAAGGTGAGAGTGTCAGAAGACATACTTCCCCTTGCGCCACAGCAAGACTGTTGCCACTATTCGGAAACCCACATACAATCCGATCAGAGCCAGCAAATACTTGGTCCAGTCATCCCACACAACGCTTTGTACGGATACGAGCTGATTTCGCAAGTAGTCGCCGGGGTTGGACATCTGGCACTGCTGCTTGGTCAAGGTCTTCTCGCAGTCATCAATGGCTTCTTTGATGTACTGAAACTCCACGACCGTCATCAAGTTGATGGCGTATTTCAATGGGCACAGGTACTGCGCCCATCTCAAACTCGCCGGAATCCTCGGTGCCAAGCAATCGGATCGGAAGGCTGGCCCAAAGCATCTGCCAATGGACCAAGGGACCCAAAGCAAACGGAGCGCAAAAAAAACTGTCCAAGCCATGACAGCTCTACAAGATCTTCACCCCTTCTGGGCAAACGAGATTAGCCCATGAAAATCACAAAACGGTGACAGTTGCGAAACACCTCCAGTTGCATAAACAGCTGGTCTTTTGGGCGAGTATTGGTGGTGACTTCGTGAAAGCGAGCTTATGCCAAGTCTCTTTGCCACCGGCACAAAAAGGCCAGAGAACAGCATCTGCGGGATGAGCGTCAACGGCGCTAGCTGAATGGCCTGCAAAGGTGTCTGATGCCAGTTGCTCCAGACTTGACACTGCAACATGCCCCTGCTTTGCAGCGTGTCTCATCCAATCACAGTCTCACAAACGAAGACACACCTGCCTGCTTTGACAGCATTCTGCGGTCTACTATGTCACTAGTTCAATCTGAAATGAGTTGGTAAGAATTCCCATCTGCATTTCAGGGTTCTGCAGTTCTTGGGAGAGGGTGGACCGAAAGCTGGTTGCCAGAAGTGCAACGCTGCCTTTTCACCAGCTAAGCAGGCTGAAAGCATGGCGGCATGCGCCCTGGCAAGAGCAGCAGGTCGGAAACTAACCAGTAGTCGAAAACAAGCGGCAAAGCATGCATCCTGGCAATGCGCAACGGCCAAACAGTCCAGCCCGGACAGGAGGGGAAGCGAACCTGCCGCACCCCAAATGCACCTGTGCACTCTATTTTAGGATTCCCTTCTTTTTGCGCCTACAGTCTTGTCCTATCCCCCTCCCCGGCCAGCTTTCAGGATAGGCACCCGTAAGCCCACATGATTCTTTCACACTGCGTGCTGAACTAAAAATGCGATATGAATAAGTTGCAAATAGTTGAGTAATCTATTTGTCTAGCTGACTTCAATATCAATAAGTAGACCACATACATACACCATGACAAACAAATAGTTTAATAACTGTACTATACAGTGTATGTATGTGTATATATATATATATGACATGTGTATATATATATATATATATATGTTGCACATGTATATGTATTGTATATACGTATTTTTGTATTAATATATATATATACACATACATACATACACACACACACACATATATATATATATAGATGTTCGCCCACATTCAGTAGTGGAAGCGCTCTGCCCACCTCCGCCAGCCGCAGCACCTTCCCGCCCCCCCCCCCCCCCCCCCCGCCGAGCCCAGCCGAGCCCGGCCTTCTGGGCGGAGGCCACGCCGCAGCCCACGAGCAGCGCCAGGGAAGAGGAGGCGATGCCCAGGAGCCAGGAAACGCCCACCAGCAGCAAGATGTTGCCTGGGATCTGGACCATTGCCAATGGAAGCCGAGGAACAACCGCTGCATTTTTCAGAGATGTGTATTGTATATTACATCCTCCCACCAATTCACACGGAACCTGACAGGGGGGTCCCTTCAGGAAAATGGTCTTCCAGGGCGTGGTTGAAGCAGGTTCCATGTTCATTGGTGGGAGGGTATATGGCAATGTCTGGACCACAAGTGATAACAAAAAAAACAACGTGTGGTCAAGATTATCAATATGTCAAAAAGAAAAAACGATAAAGTCAAGTATCTCTGCGCTGTCTTCTTCCTAGACTAGAATTAGGAAACCGGCAAAACAATGAGCTCTTTTTTGCCGGGTTTGTGGAAAACAAAGGGACCCCAAAAAAGCCCCCCCAAAAAAAAGGGGAGTTGCCTCGTGTCTGGTCCAAAATGAGAAAATATGTCAAGTAGTGATAGGTTTCCTTTAAAACCAAGGGGATCGTCCAATTGCATGCGACAGTTGATTAACAAATACGCGTCAAGATTACTTATATATGTCAAAACTAAAATGAGAAAATGACGAAAGTGAGAAAATTGTAAAATGACGAAACATGAGAAAATGATAGATTCCCTCTCAAACCCAGACAATTGGTGATAGATAACTAGATGCCCTTCTATTACCAGATTCCCTTTTCCAGATTCCCTGTCCAAAATGTGATAGATTCCCTTTTTAAAACCCAGCGGATCGACCAGTTGCATACGGCGGATTCGCCCCCCCCCCCCCCGAAAATATGTCCAGTGATAGATGTCCTTTGAAACCAAGGAGTGTTTTGGTAGTTGAACACTGAAGCAAATGCAAGAAATCGGCCACTGGCTGTTGTGAAAACTAGGGTAGCCTCCCAAAATGGGGGGGCCTGGTAAATGGAACCAAGAACTAACACCTGCGCGAAATGTGCGTTTCCGCCTAGGGGAAAGAATGAGGACATATGTCCAGTTTTGATAGATTCCGTTTAAAGCCAACAAGGGAAATAGGTTGATCAATATTCCCTTTGGCCCTCCGACCATGGGAAGCTTTTCAACCATGTGGTGAAAGTCAAATCTTTTGCGGTGGTTTCCCTGATGGTCACCCCATGTAAAGAACATTTGCATAAGCCCTGTAGAAAAAAAAGGGAGATATTACTTCCAGTAGTCATAAACTCTGTAAGGGGAAAATAGCACATACTGAAGCAGGTTGAAGAAATGTCTGGGTTGAAACAATTCACCAATGACCAGTTCCTGGGAATGCAACGATTGGGTTTCCATTTGATCTATCTAGCACCCAAATGGGGTGGTCCTGTGTTTGTTCTCCATTTAGCCCTGGTTTCCCAACCGAAACATCCTCCCTTGAAATCACCTTCCCGCCGTTCACTCACAGCAAACGCATCAGAGCTTTAGCAGAGATGCCATGCAGGCCCATCCACCAGTAGGTCACTGCAATGGTCACGATCCTCGGCTTAAGCCAAAAGGCAAGGGCGTCAAACACGTCTTGGCCTTGGGGGTTGGGGGGTGCTATGTGGAGAAACTGGTTGAGTCCTATTGAGTCAGTTTCATGGCTTAGGCTTCTCCACCATGAGGGGGAGGGTGGGGAGTTCCCGCTTCCATTTGTCTAGTCTAGGGAAATTTGAACCATGAATGGAATTCCGGGGGTCACACCCCTCCCCCAAGTTGGCCAAAGAATCTGAGACATCAGCACTACCGGCATCTCCACGATGGTTTTGCTGATGAAATAGGGCAGCACACCGTACTGGTGAGCTGCGTACTCCCGCAGGAAAACTGGCCGCTCCTGGGCACGGCGAGCGGGAAACGGCAGCTAGCGGCGAACTTGGCTAACGCAGGGCGGGCCAGCAGCAAGAATTCCGCAACTAGTCATGCGCTGACTCAACCATGAAACGGCTGATCTAGCTGTTCATGCGCGTGAGGCAGCCCCCGTCTCCTGCGGGAACTGCAAGATCACAGGCTGGGCCGCGCCCATCATAGACATGATGCTGAGGGAAACCAGCGTCCCGAAGTGTGCCTGGAAGTCTCCGGTGCACTCGCCAGCGTCGAAGTTGTTCGGCACGCCTCGCGAGTTCAAAGTTCAAAGCGAGCGTCCCAACATCGAAGTTGTTGTGCAATACACCGGTTGGACTTCGGAACTTATCAAACCCACGGCAGGATGCTAGCAACATCCACAGGCAATAGGAAATGTTGCTTCTCTATCTCACTTATCAAGGGTCCCGCCACAGCACCAAACAATGCTGCCACCCACCTCTCTCTGAAACTGGGCAGAAATGGGGACATGTAAATTATTTAGATGCCATGCGAGGGCTGGATCCACACATCCTGCCAGATACGTAGTGCTTCCCTCTATCATGATCTCTCTATAACTCTGCTAAAAAAACGCACCGCTCTGACCCTGGTCCACTCACCCCGATTTGCTTGGGATTTTAGAAAACAGGTTCAAACTTAAAATCAAAACATAATTGAACACGGGATGTCAAATCCGAGTTGCAGATGGCATCTGCAACTTCGCTCAGTAAGAAGCACAACGGTGCGCGATCAAATCTGAGGAAGATCATGGCTGCCAACTTGCAACATTTCGGGACTCGATGGCTCCCTTTTTGAGGGCCTTACACTTTTGCCTTTTTCAAACACGCTGCCCTTCTTGTCGAGAGGCAGTTGCCGTTGGCCGCGCCCTGCTTGTCCCCGTTTGAAGCGCTCCCGGAGAAGAGCCAGCCGTAGAGCACGGACAGAAACACCGCCATGCCAATGCGGGCAATCAGCACGCCCTTGTTTCCTCGGCTGATCCGACGTATTGCCTTGGGTCGAGTACATCAACCCGGCTTGCCCAGTGGCCCGAGAAAAGCGGACACGTGCTTTTTGATTTGAAAGGGGAGGGGGACCTTCTTGAACAAAAAGGTGGCACTGGGCAACGGGGAAACAGCCGCCGAACAAACAGCAACTTCACCAAATCTTAAAGGTGGCACTGGGCAACGGGGAAACACCCGCCGAACAAACAGCAACCTCACCAAATCTTAGGGTTACCTCCTGCAAAAGGCTTCGCGCAACACCGAGAAATATCTCTAACCTCTAGGTCGTGGCGTCTCGGGCCCATTGCACCTCTCTTGCTTCCATTGTGCACAGATAGGTCTGAGCCAAGGACTTGGTTCTCACAAACAAATGGCACTCCCAACAAAAAACCAAGAGGTTAAGTTCATCAAACACTCGTCATGAACCGGTCACAGGGCAAAGGTTTTGGAGTTGTTGTGGTCGCTGCTGATGCGTCTCTGGTGTGTGGCTGAGATGAAACTGCACGCCTGGGATGTGATTTATTTGCCCAAAGCTGTGGCTGATGCGCGGCTTTTTTGCGATGCGAAATGCCGTGTAATGGCTGGAGTCGGGAAAGTTACTCCCAGAAAGGGCGCACTACTGCAGCAGCGCATCCAAATTAGGCTTGCCCTCCTAGTCCGGCCCAGGCTGGGGGGGGCCTGTAACCAAAACCTGACTTTCTCGCCCACAAACCGCAGGCTGGCTGGCCCCGTCGAAGCGTCTGATGGTTCCCCGGACCTCCCGCACCAACAGCATGGAGAGCTGCTGGCAGAAGCCTGCGAGAAAGCCACGCGCGAGTCCATCTTCCCCAGCTGGCGGAAAACCAATGGAAAACGCCGTGCTACGCTGGGAAAATATCGACGCGCCCCCCCATTCCCTCGCTTTTTCCTGGAGAAACTGAGCAATGCGCTTGGCTAAGCAGTGAGTTGCTCCTGATTGATTCTGGCCATGCCCTAAATCAGACCCGGCTCTGGGATGCTTGACGGGGGAACCATTTGAACCACTTGCAATAGAGACATTCACCCAATGGCAAGAACATGTGTACGTGCGTGTCAGAAAAAAACCCGGCGCTAGTTTTGACCCATGTTTGTCGCAGTTCCGGGCGAAGCTGCCCCAGGAACAAAGCTGGAAGACACGACAGCAAGCCTCAGCAAAACAAGAAGTAGCTTGAGAAGCCAATCATAGCAGCTGGCGCGCGTGCAGTTTAAAGTTACAATTGGTTGCAAATAAACCTGTCTCAAAATAGGAATCGGACCCTCAAAATTGACTTTCCTTTTGTTCCCCTCGAAACCTACCAGTACCCTCAAAAAAGGCACCATCAGAAAAGACACACCCAAATCATGATATGGAGATGCTCTCGCAAACACCGCGGACTTGAAGAAGCAACAGAATACCGGGTCCACCAAAAGCTCTCAAAACTAGGGACTCCCAAAATGGGGGGGGGTTCCTTTTGGTTTCCCTTTAAACCAGTCCCCCCAAAAGGAGAGAAACACCCATATGCTGTCTCAAATTACATTACTCCAATGTGAGCAATGAGCTTTCAAGGGCTTTTCCTTGATGAATCTCACCGCCTCAAACCTTTGGCGCATGTGCCAGCCTCATGATTTCTCACATGCATGCCCAGCATGCCCCGCACATTGCAAGTGGCCACGGGGAAAAAGATGAGGGTTCAATTCAGGGAACCGGCCGTCAAAAAAGGAAGAACTGGACTTGGACATATAGGTGACCTTTTGGACAATAGATGGGTTTCCCTGATGAATGGGGCTCAACACCCATCTCAACCAGCGGAACCCGTCTATTTCTGAGCAAACTGACCAAAAATGATGCCTATGGTCTTGGTCCTGTACATCAAGCTCTGGCAAGAAGCAAACATGCCCACACACACACACATACACACAAACAGTTCAACTGCTCGACAGGGCCGAATTACGCCACTCACATCAACTGTTTCATGACAGCGAAATGAGATCTTGAGCTTAGTCGATGCTTCTTGCTGTGTTCGCCTTGTACGGCTGCAGTTCCTTCGAACTACGGTAGCAAAAGACTGGCCGAGGTTGCAATAACATGTTGTTTTCCGTCAAAGGGTATTGTTGCACGCGCGGTGCCTGAAGCAAGCCTTTGGCACGCGTATGCAATGATGCTTCGTCGCGAGGGCAAGAATAGCCCTTCCAACCGCCTTTCCATAACTCGAACAGGCCCCTCAAGATTAGCTGCTACGGGCATGCGCCAAGCTGGCCCTTAGCATCCCTTTGGAGAAAAAATGGCAGACCTTGCCGCGCCAAACCAGCAAAAACCCGAAGCCCGAATTTCAGCTTGATCATATGGGAGCCTGTTGAGCGAACGTTTGTTACCTATTTCCGAGAAACCCGTCGACGCATCGAATCCCATTGCCCAGCGGCCTGTCCGCTGCGAGATGGGAATCCGCTCGGAGGCGCCGCGGCTCTCGCGGCCCTGTAGGCCATCCACCTTGGAGCGCATGTCCTGCCGCGGGGCCAAAGACGGACTCGACTTGGCCCCCCTTTTGACGGGGGAAAGGCGTTGGGGGGCCCAGCCATGAAAAAAAAAAACCAGGTTTTGGGGGGAGCCGTCTCTTCACCGCATTCATGAGAGCAGCTACAAGTAGTTATGGGTCAAAATCCAAATCGTACCCCCAGTGAACATCCCAATCCCCCCTAAAATAGGCTTTAAAATGGGTGGTGAATTCACCTACCAACCAAAATGGGATCCAAAACGGTTTTTGACAACCACAGCCAAACAGCTACAAGCTCGATCAGTCCTTGTACAGTGTGGACTGAAGCCAGGTGTCCTTGATCTCCCGCAGCTTGTCTGGCGACTCCTCCCAATGGCAAATGAACAGGCCTGACGTGCTGCTACTTCTCCAGTCAACTTCAAATGAACAAATTGGCCAAACCTAAATAAACACGACTTAAGTTCAAATTGCCTTGAAACAATTGGCCAAACCTAAAAAAACATGACTTGGAATTGCGCTTAGCCTTGATACTGCAAACGTTTGCTTCAGCCACGTGTGCAATGCAATGCTAATGCCATAGTTAGGAAAGCAGAAGCTTCAGCTTGGTGCAGCTGCGTTGCTTCAAACGTCACCTTTCCTCGGGCTAAGTTTCGCGGCTCAATGCCCTTCGCATAGGCGGCGTTTTGGAAAAAAAACATGGGATTCCCTGGTAAATGGAATAACCCCCATCTTAACCAGTGCCATCTATTTTTAACCAAACTAACCTCAAAAGGACACCTACTGTGGAGGGCCGAAATCCTGCACCACTTGGAAGCCATGGGAAACCATTGTTGGTTGGTATTTGCAGGGAATCATCATTCCAGTTAGGTGGTGCGAACTGGATTTCGCAACCATCCACAGTATGGCCAAACAGTCTGACAAATCCAACTAACCCAGTGGAACCCATCCATTTTCGGCCAAACTCACCAAAAAAAAGGGGCCACCAAAATGGCCCAACAGTTTTTGATAACTCCCAGCAGAGCCCGGTGCTTCAACTGCTGCGTCCTTCTGCAGCAAAAACATCACGTGGTCCGCCGGGTTGAAGTTGGAGGGGCAGGGGAAGCCCAGCGACTCGAAGTGCGCGGCGATCTTTGCAGCTGGCCCGTGGTACGTGATCTCCCCGGCATGCCTCGAGAGGCTCGGCATAGCAACGCTGGGATGGGGGAGGCCTTGGCATATCTTGGCATAGGTGGTGGGTTAAAGGGAAAGGACCAACCATTTTCTGACTCTGATCACCCCCAGAAACCGAACCAACATAGGTGGGCTTTTGGAGGTGGCTGTTGTGGAGTTCCACCCCTGTACTAAGAAAGGGCCAACCGGTGGAACAGGTGAAATCCACAAAAGGCGCATCCAAAACGGTTTCTAGATGCCTCGAGAGAAGCACAACATCGCAATGGGGCGATGGGGCGATGTGGGGTTTGCGACTAAGGGCGGCCTTTAGACTGAGCATCCGCGGAAGTGGGACGAAGCCAACATGCAAGAAAAGGAACATGTAGACTAAAGTCGCTTTTGATTGGTGTTGCTAGGCGGGGTACAAATTTGTCGCGGACTGTTGCTCACGATCAGCAAGGAAGCTTCGTTGCATTCAGCGAATGTCATCATATGTCATCATGTTGACTCTTGCCCGGGGCCAACGCCAATAGCAGTCAACCTTTAGGCGGTGACTAAGCATCGACCATTGTAGACTCCCAGGCAACATTGCTACCAGTGAAAAGCAAACCAGTCCCAACAGCTTCAGACCTCTTTCCATGTCGCTGGCTTTTGTCCAACCCAAGAGCTATCATTGAATGTGTTTCGCCACGCTTCACGTCCAGGAAAAAAAAACATAGTATGAGTCATTGATCTGATCTGTTTGCATCTGTCATCCAAACATCTCCACTACAGTACAACTAGAGCTGAGTCCAGCATCATGGAAATTGTGCCCGGCCGCGACACTGACTTTGAGAAGTGCATCGCGAAGAAGTGCGCCCAATGCTAATGTTACGTCATACAATACATACATGACTTTCTTCAGCTCCCTGAATCTCCCTGAAGACTCAAAAACGAAATCATGTTGGGGGCTGTCAAGCTTGTCCGAAGACTAAGAGATCACCCTAATCCTTAACAAAATTAGGCCCGGCTCACATTTGTCCCAGGCATGTGATGCTTTCAGCTCTGGGGAAGGCGTGGTGGGAAACCCTCGCCACAGCTTTGCCGGTCGCTCTTTTTGGAAAAGCTGCAGGATGATGACGTCATCGAACTTTGCAAAGATCTCCGAGCTGGGCCTTCAGAGAACACCGAGGGAAAAGAGCTGTGCACCCCCTATGGGCAAGTAAGCCGATCACCGGAAGGCGCGCCTAAAGGGGCTTCAACCACAGGGAAAGACGCTTCAATTGGGTGATTCCCTTGCTTCCACCATGCAGAACAACTGCATCTCTTAATGTATATACGCGTGGGAAAGGGGTGCTCATGAAGGCTTGCCGAGCCATAGGAAACCTCACTCAAGGTCACTGTAGCTTGAGCAACTCCGTGCCACTAATATATGTCCAACTAACTGTTGGGCGTCTTACTCCAGCCGGAACAGCCATCATATTTGGAGGGCGCTCGTGCATTTCGGGATCCTCATGTTACAGATTCGGGCTGCCTCAATCAGGCAGCTTGTTGCATCCCAGCTGCTGGTGCACAGTGCAAAGCACGGGGACATTGGCATCTGCCAACTCCTTCCTTGGCTGTGTCGCGTAGCAGCTGCAAGCCTTGCCATTAGCCAAAGGTTTGTACGCTGTGCCTCTTGCCTTTGGACGAGCTAATTCTGAGCCCCCCCCCCAAGAAATTGCAATCCACGCGCGCCTCATGCAGCGACTTGCGCACTTCCACGGAGCAGTTATCAGATTATATCACGCTGAGCGCTGGCTCAATACGAGAAAAACATGAGCACAGCCTTGACAAGCCACTCGAGCCTCAATAGGGCAGATTGTCCGAATGAGCATTTCAAACTGGATGGGATTGTGATACCCGCAGCAAACGGCTCACCCACTACAACCTGTTCAAGCCGGCCTATTTAATGCAAAAAGGGTCCAATGAAGTTTGCGAACCTTGGGAAAGCATGTGATGAACCTGTTTGAAGCCATGAGGAAAGAACCCGAAAAACCATGGTGGAAAGCCATCTAGAACACTTTTGGGGGAAACCGCTGGGGGGGCATCGGAAGCCATGGGGAAAACGGGGACCCCATTTCTTCTGGGACACCATTTCTCCCGAAATAACCATCGAACACTTTTGGGGGAAACACAGGCATCGGATTCAACGAGGAAAATGGGCGGAAAGCAGCCCCCATTTCCTGGGCCGATTCCAAAAGAAGAACGCCGAGTTGCAAGGCCACCACCAGGGTGTAAGCGGCATAGGAGTCCAAGCCGCTGAGGGGCTCGTCCAGGAAGAGCATCCTGCAGGTTCTGTTTGGCCCTGCTTTGGGTGCCAAGACTACGCTCCCCGGCCGTTCAAGAGTCAAGATATGTCAAGATTTACCTTGAGGCTGCTTGCACCGGAACTACATGCTCGGCTTGGTACTAAAAGTCATTGGAGAAGCCAGAAATGCCACTCCTTCTCCCAAAAGAGCCCCTTATCAGGAGCCAGGAACTCGCCAAGAAACTCAGCGAGCTCAAGCAACTCGAACGCTGTTCGGAATAATAAGCATGAGTCTAAGAGCATCGTCTTGGAGAGTCAGATCCCTGGCTGCCCTCCTGCCTCACGTGGGCTTAGCAAGTCCATTCAACAGGGCAATGGTCGCTTCAAGGGGACGAAAAGGCCTGCTGCCACGACCTACGCGCTAGCAGGCAGAAATGTGTAGATGCACAACTTGACACTTAACTTCTGTGGTCTGCACTTACGAACATGGTTCCCATCACAGAAGGCAGCTTTGGCCCTTGCTCATTCTCCATGGCGGCTCAGCCGACTTGTGGACTAGTGATGAGGCACCACTTACAACATTGGAAGGTGTCAACATGGTTTAACCCTGTGATGTGTGAACTGGATTCATTATCAAAAGCCACCCTGATCAAAGCTGATGAGGCCCGCATTGAACATGGCAAAAAACAGTGTTTGACAGCCAACCTCCTTCTAAGTCCCTTCTTGACCACCAAATCACGTCAATTTACCGAAGTGGAAAACAAATGGGATGGAGTCAAACATGCCAAATCTGAAAAGTGTCATTTCGTGGATTGAAGCAATCAGGTTGCTCCACGAACCCATTGCGATCAATTGAGAGCATTATCTGCATGCACCTTGATGAAACCTTCCGGGCATTCCTGGCTCAACGGACTCGAGTTTTCCAGGACAAGGGCTTAAGGTCCCAAACTTGTGGGTCAAGAATTGTCAAGATCAGCATTTAGACGCCGAATTGGGTCCCGACTTTGACCCAAGCTCCCCAAAGCACAGTTCCTGCACCAATCCAACAACTCAGGTGTGCAAAGGACCCAGAACCAAAAGATTAACCTATTGGGGCCACGACTAACAATGGACCAAGCAGGGGAAAGCAAACGGTTAAAAGGTCGGCTTTGGGCGAGTGAGAGAAGCAATGCTCAACACTAAAGGGAATTGCAGTGACAAGCTACAGCCTTGCCAGAGGCCTGGAGGGCTTCACGCTATGGACCCCTCCCAAACCCATACAAACCCGAGACAGAAGGTCTGGGCTGAACTGGACTTAGCTGCCTTCCAGTTACTCTGGCTGTCCGTTTTCAGATTCCCTGCTAAAAGTGACAAACTTTTAGTGGGTTAACTGGAAACCAACCTCTAAACCAACAAACCCAAGAGCATGGCTCCCCAGCCACCTTAAGTACTCTCATTGCTTTTTGCGAGCTCGCCGACTCGCGGCCGACCAGACGCCCGAAAGAAGAAAAATACACAACAAAAGAGGGGAACAAAAACAAACACAAGAAGACAAAAAAAGACTCGACGCGCCGAAACACAAAAAAGGAGAAACACACAAGAATACAAACAAACACAAAAAACGGGGGGGGGGGGGGAAAACAAAAAACAAAAACAAAAAAAAACTCGACGCGCCGAAAAAGATGTGGGGCTCCTGGGGTCTGTGATGAGCTCGATGCCCACGGAGGTGCGCTTCCGCTCGCCTCCCGAGATGCCCTTCACCAGCTCCGAGCCGACGATGGTGCCCGCGCAGCGCTTCAGGTGCAGCGTGTCCAGCCTCGGACCGCCCCGGGGATTTTTGTTTTTTCACGTGTGGCTGCAGCAGATCTTCATTTTTTTTGCGTCAAGAGGCGGCGGCATAAACACAAATGCAAACCGATGCACTAGATATATATATATATATATGTCTATATGTATATATATATATATATATACATGTATCTACATGGCAAAACATGGTGCATAATGCACGTGTGGGTTGAAAAGGCACAGGAGGTGGTGTATGATGAAGGGTCCCTGTTCGACAGGTCCTTAAGCGGATATGCAGATGCCACGAGGCCAGGAGGTGCTCGCAAATGCAATTGGTGCTGTGCATGAGAATGTCTCGAATCCAGTTTATTTGGTTTCAACAGGACTCCAAATCAACCATGAACACACGTCCTTCATTGCAACAAAAACAAAAAAAACAAGAAGACGCCTGCAGCATCCTGCAGCATTCTGCACTTGAATGAATGGCTGCTTACCACTGTGACAAAGGCCATAACACAGAAAACCATAGGTTGTATCCTTTAGAAGTTCACTTGCTTCACTCCCTCCCCCTGATACTCATCAGGTCACCTCGCCCAACCCAACTACCTACCCCGACACGTGCTCTTGAGCGCGTGGCAAGTTATCGACGAACTCCTTCCGCTGCTCGTCCGAGATGTTCCGGGACAGCCGCAAGCCTCTAGAAGGGCCGAAGACGGATTCGGCAATTGTTGGGAAATCCAATCTCCGGTCTCTCTCCAAATTCATGCTATTTGGGCTCCAGTGCACATTCCTACTTTGAGATAAGCTCACCAGCTTGGGGCACAACAACTAGAAGTTGGCTGCTATTGGAGGTCGCTTATCCTCAACTCTGATTTTCGAAATTCCTGAAAGCAGGCCGCTTGAACCTTAGTCTCCCTTGCCGCCAGCACGCAAACCAACATCGCATGCTTGTCCTGACGTGTCCGGGTTCCCGCCAGGACACGTCAAAGACTTCCTTTTCCGACTTCGCGAAATGGATTTCTGCCAGGGGACATGCCGAGAAGTGGAGGCATTCCCGGGGGGTCTCGAAGGGAAGCAAGGAGTCGTCCTGCATGACGTAGGCAATGTTCGCTCTGAAGACGACTGGGTCCACCGGCACGCCCCCAGTGGTTATTGCGCCTCCAAGAAGGGCTCTTATCGTGAAAGCACTTGCCAAAGCAAGAGGATGTGACTCGCAAAGAAAACACACAAAGGAAAAAGCAAGCAAAGAGCTTGAACCCTTCGCACAAGGTGAACATGATTAGGTTTAGCTCGCTCTTTTCATGTGCCGGGCTGAGCTCTCACGTGGGCATTCCACTCCAAGTTCAGTCATCGCAGGTACCCAGCATGTCAAACAAAAAGCGCTAGGCCAAATAAGCCGACAACCCATTCCATATTGGTGTGGCTCACAAATGGGAGTCCAAAATGGAACCCTCGTAAATGGACAGGTAGACTAAAACCCGAACCCCAGTTGCTTAATTTTGAGCCACAGCCTATGCACCTTGTTAAACTTATCTGTACCCGCACCCTGCCTGTCAGAGACATGCCGGCAGCTTTGGTGTTCTGCCGGCCCGCCAGGATGTTGAGGAGCGTGGTCTTCCCGCTGCCTGGCACAAAAATGCAGACCTGGACCAGCCTGTCCTTGCAGCCCAGGCCATAAGCCAGCTGCTAAGTGCATTCGTCATCATCCCACCTTGCAAAAGAAACTCTTGCTACCTTGTGCTGTCTTGCGTTGTGCTTCATCAAGCTGACTGCTAGTCACGCACGTGTTCTTGGTAGGGGGAAGCCTTCGTTACATTTAGGGACCCAAGCCATCAAGTTGAGCAAAGGAACGAGAATGAATCATTGGTTACTTGGTTTCCTTGGGGCCAGCCGAACTTTTGCATTGGAACCGCCAGGGGCCAGCCATCAAAAGCTCCAAACTGCTTCCGCCCGTTCGTTTTCACTTGGGTCGCCTGCCTGAAGGTCCGAAGACGCCGGTCAGCCGGCCGGGCGAGATCATGCCGGACAGCTTGGTCAAAATCCTGCGCGCGGGGTCTGTGTCAAGGTCCAGGATCGAACTTGGGTGGTTGCCGCCCTAAGCTGGACCAGCTCACGAGCCGCAAGCCAAACCTGCCGACCCACAAGCTGCCAAGTCTGGGAAACTGGCCCGACTTTTCAGCTCAAGTGCTCAATCCCGGCCAAGCTTAGAAACGCCAAAAACGTGGGGCCAGCCAGCGACAACGAATGTGTGCCTTTTTGATGTGTGTGCAACTTTCAAATCATTGAAAGGATCATGGGCATTGCTTCCTCATGGTCCAAGCTTGCAGGCCCAATGGCCGATGACTATCCCAAGCTTATATCTTACAAACGCAGAAGTGTTTGCGAATATCAATGATGGCGCCACTTGAGCAAGCCTTGAGCTAAACCTCGTTTCAGCCTTGTTTCAGCGAACTGGCGGGCCAAGGCGCTGATGGCTGCCGATCGTGAAGGTTAAATCGCTCCACTCCATGGACCGCTCCTTGACAGGCGTTGCTATGGCGAGGTGCCACCAAGACAAGCTTGGAGCAAGCCCGAAGGAGACCGTGATTGAGCAACTGAACTCTGCAAACGTTAGCTGCCGCTTTTTATTGGGCACAAGAAATGGCCAACCAAGATGTCCGTTGAGGCATCAGGCAACTGAGGCCAAAGAAAAGCCAAAGCTGCACTTCACCAGCCCTCACATTTCCAGCAAGGTTCCAAACCTTGAAGCGCCCCGTGTACATATCCGAAACTCTGCACAGCCAACGAACCTGCAACTCCAGCCTTCCAGTTTGGCCGCGGAAAGCGGACGAAAAACCTGCAATTCAGCTTGCCTCTAATTGGTGGTTTGGATTGGTGGTTTGGATTGGTGGTTTGGTGGTTAAGGAGTGGTTTCGCATTCACCTTCTGCAAGAGCCAGGGGTGAACGTCCCCAAACCGCCAATCCAATCCACCAACTAAGGGTTACCTGAGCAGTGCTTGGTGTGTATGCAAGCGCCCTTGACAGGTTGGACCCCGCTCGATCAAACTGCCGTGCTTGTGTTTGTTTGATACTTCCGCTGCAGCCCCTTCCCCCCGTCATTTCACTTATTTCCCAAGACCATCTGAAATATGTGGATTTGGGGGAAAACAAGGACGCCGCCACGGGCTTGAGACACAACTCAGAAGAACCTCTTCCACATTGGTTGGTGTCCTTCAGTCACTGGACTTCCCCAAATCAAATTCATTTACTGGTGAGTTCCCTTGAAACGATCGCCTCTGGAGATTCCCTAGAAACAAATGGCTCAGACACCCTGCCTTTTGGTCGGAAAACCATTGCACCGTTTTGGGAGGGTCCAACCCTAAAGACGACGAGTCCAGGTGCTTCCCTTCCAAGAGCCCAGGCGCCGCATCCCGCTCTGGCGTGCCCGAGAGTTGCCTGGAGCGCGCCCTCAGCGCCTCCATACCTACGGAAACGCAAAGAAGCACTGGGTCCCATCATAGGTGGGTATGGGTCAAAATTAAACCACCAGGGGACCGCAGGTTTTGGACACATTTACGGTCTTGGGACCCACACGTGTCCTTTTTGGTTGTTTTGGTAGAAAAATAGAGGGCGATTCCTGGTTTACCTCTTGGTGCGGGCAGTCAACACTACAGACACCTACACACACACTACGCATCGCACGTTTAGCAGCCTCAGTCTCCGCATGTTGGAGTGCTTTGGTGTTCACATTCCTTTAGTTCAGCAGGCCGCCTGAATACCCCACGCAAGAATTACGAAGGTCTCAACTAACAAGTGCAAACATGACAACCAACTCAAGACTTAAAACATTATAAAACTACCATCCTGCAACCTTCCATTTGCTTAAGCCCCCTAAAAAAAATAAAAACATTTCCAGTAGTCATAGGTTCCCTTAACAACCAACAGGGGAAAATAACACCATATTCATTTCAGCAAATGGAAGAGACGAAGTCACCCACCAATCGCCTGCCAAAATGTCTGGCCTGCGCTCAGCTGCCGCTCCGGATCCAGATGCGTATCCGACACATCGCGCCCCTCTCGCAAGCTCTGGGTCAAGTCGTCCGGCTTCATGGGCGGAGGCCGGAGGGCCGCAGGCACGGGCCGAACGCCGAACGCGCTCTCTGTGCAATGCTTCCCTGAGCCAAAGGAACATATTTTGAGCCAATGTCAATACTGGGCTGCCCTCAGATCTGCTAAAAGTTTGACTTTTAGTAATTGAAATGGAAATCCCCACTAGACGCTAAAAAGCCAAAAGGCTAAGGAACTGGATGGCTGGGAGCCACCAAGAATAAATAAGCGCATTGCAAGAGTTTTCCCTCACGCAAAAGAGAAGAGTAGGTTCGGACCTGTGGCAGCTGCTTGATAGGTTTGATCTGCAACAGAGCCCAACCGGCACAGATTGAATAAGGCAATAAGGCAATGGCTCGTCCGAGGGTGGCATCAAACAACCAAACAATGCCATGACTATGATTGGAAAACACTAGCCCGACATGTGGCGGTATCAGTGGCAAAGGAAAAGGTAGGTCGCAAGTCGCGAGCCACTTTATGGCTCACAATTGAATCGGCGGAAGCACATGCCGGTGATGGGAAACAATGGACTTGGAAGATCACGAAAATGCGGCTCATACCACATCGCTATTGTACAGTAGCAAGTCTTACCATTGTTGAGTGCAGAAAATATTTGTTGTTGTATATATATATATATTAACAACAAAAAAAACTCGGCAACTGAAACTAAGCCACGCTTGCACCAGCAGTTTGTTCCTCGGCGCGACCAACGGATCCCACGGATCTGAGCTCGGAACAGCCAGCACGGACCAAATGGTCCCCATGATCAGAACCTCAGCAGCGCGCCATGATGGTGAACATGTTTTTGAGACCCTCCACTGACTGAATCATGAAGACATCAGCCAAACTCGGTTGCGAAATCTGCGAAGCCCTGCTAAAAGTGAATAACCTTTAGAGGTTTAACACGGAAAACCTAGTAGTTGGCAACAAGTTAAAGTCCTAACATCCCTTGGCAAGATGCAGCAAAGTAAACATGAATGGAATAAACCTCATCTAAACCAAGGCCCTCTATTTTTTAAGCAAACCAACCAAAAAGGACACCTATGCATGTTGCCTCTGGCTGCTGGGCTCCTTCTTCCTTGGCTTTACTGTTCGCAAATTCCAACTCTCAGACCCGAAAGCCATCCAGGACATTGGCTGGATACACCATGGACACTGATTCCATACTATTAGCGGACCAGGCCACCGGCAAGTGTATTGACGCCAAGGTGACCAGTCCTTTTCGCATACCTCACACCATGCGCCTTTTGGCCACATTGCATTACCTTGATTGTAACAGAAGGAACCTGTCGGTCGGGACCCGGAAACCCTTTCAACAAAAACACTGGTCTTCCACCAGGATTTCCCCGCCCAAAGCGCCAGGATTTTTGTGCGTTCATGGGTGGCAGGGTATCACCTTCAGCATCCAAGTGGATGAGCAAGGTGCCATGCCCATGCCGAAGAGAATCGACTTGGCAGCTGCAGCAAAGCTCATCCTGGGCGCAGGGTCTCCAAAACCGAACCCTTGGGAGGAAAAAGGGGATCCTCCATGAGCAAAGAGGCCAAAAGCATAAACAATATACCTGGGACACCCTGAGAGTACCTTACTTTTTTTGGGGCCGCTTCGTGAAACGGCTGCTTTTTCAGGCTTTCATTCGCCAATCACAAGCAGCATCAAATTATTGATAACTGCACGGGCATGCTAAATCAGCACATGCCAACATAGCAAACATGTTTTCCTTCTTGAATGAGTCGAGGCTTGCCTGGTCTGAGGACTGAGCAGTCCTACAGAGCAGACAGCTTCAAACACAAGGTTGCAACACAACATTCAAGTCAACTATAGTCCTGCGTGACATAATTCCTGCCTCCATCTCGACACATCTATCAAGCACAATATTTCATGTATGCTGGAAGCTCTGGCAATGTGTCTGGATCTTGTAGGCGCCACCACATTCATCCAGCGAAAGCGATGAGTGCAGCCATCCCAACATGTCATAACCCTAGAACTTTTCTTTTCGGGGGCTCTTTGTCCCTCGGCACGGCATGTATGTGATACAATGAACATATTCACGCGATAACATGTGAAATCGTTGCCATGTTTCAAGCATGATGATGGATGGGAGGTTCTGGTGACCCACAAGAAGAACTAGAAAAGACACGCACACACGCACAAACAAACAGACGCACTGCAAAACAAAGGAACAACTCTAATGTTGACCCCGGATTAATAAACCCCTCTTTAGTAGTATGGGTGTGGTCCTGGTTTTAGTGGGGATTCATTACTTTTGGAGGGGAACACCCCCATCTTAAGAAACAGGGGTTGATTCATCCGGGGTCAACCTCCCAGCTACCATCAACTTGCAGCCGCGCGGCAGCAACATCTTGAGCTCCCAGATCTGCCGCAAGACGCGGAAGATCCGGGCCATCTTGCAAATCCGGAAGATCCTGAATCCACAGAGGGGAAGTCAGCCTACCCGTCAAACAGCAAACAAGCTTACGAGAAAGGGCCCGCTGGTTTCAGCTCCAGGTTGGCTTTGGAACAAGAGCGGCCTATGCGTTCAGCCGCTAAGCGACGGTTATGGCAGCGCAATGTGTAGTTTGATTAGGGGGAAGCACAATGAAAGCACATGTGCCATGGTCAAACGCCTGGTGTGGGCAATGGGCATGGAACCGTGATAATGGTTGTCTAAACTCCCTTTGAAGAGATTGATGACCCATCCTGCCAACCCAAGCTTAAAAAAAGTGTTCCGACTATGGCACACATGGATTGTCGTCCTACAGAGTTTACTTTGCCTTCCCGGGCAAAGCTGGGTGGACAGGTGTAGCCATGACAGGGCCTGCTTTTCCAAGGGAACCCGACCCTACCTATCCTCTACATAACGCCACAAAACAACCTTTGCGATAGATCGATAACACTAGCAGAAATAACTCAACATGGTTGCCTGCAATTGTGTTGGACTGGAGGCTAGATAAACAAGTGCCAACTTCAACTTGCTGGTGCTCAGTAGGGTTTTGGGAACGAACAAGGGGATTCCCTTGAAGGAAACCATGGGGAGTGACTTTTACGGGTGAGTCCAACTCATTCCCTGCTGGGAACTAGACAGTCAAAGCAGGGTCTATCAGTTTGTGTCTTCCAGGTGGCCAGTGGCAACACACCCCCACTACCGGTGGTAGCAACCTGCAGTGTTCAAACAAATAGCCATCTGTCTACTGACGGGCCGCTGATCTCATTACTACCCAAGCTGGTAAGCAAACCAACGGCCCGCCTTGGGTAGTAAGCAGATCAAGCGGCCTGGAAATTGTAACTCGTTGGTTGTCAGGTCGCGGGCGTGAGGTCATATCCAGCTTCCGAATGTCACGATTTGCTTTTCGCCCAATGGCGAATGCTTGATTTGGATCTCAGCCGGTTCTGTTTCATTGATCTCACTTGCTCAAGAAGGCGGGGAGCGTACGAAGCAGTGCCACAATACTCCATACTTGAAAGTGGTTTTACATGTTTTTGTTGTTTGTTGAGCCGGTTGACAAAAGTGCAACACCCTAACGACAGTCCAAGCATTTGCCCGCACAAGAGGTGAAAAGAAAATATAGGGAACACCCCGCCCATTTAACTGAGGTAGCCCCCCGCAGGCAGTTTGACACCAATAACCGTCAACCAAAAACGCATTTTCTCAATAAGCTTGCTTCGTACTTAGAAGCCTTGGAACATAAGGAAAAGCAGACGCAGCACAAAAGAGGCATGAGGCTGAGATTCAGAAAGGGCCACTCACATCCAAGCACTTTGCTTGACAGCTAAGAAAACAAAATTAATGTTGACCCAGGATTAATAAACCCGTCTCAGAATTAGGGGGGTGTTCCCTCCAAAAGTGATGAATCCCCACTAAAAGGGGACACCCCCCAATCAAAATCAACCAGGGGTTCTGCTTCATCCGGGGTTAACATTATGGCTCGAATGTTGTTCACTTCCTCTTGCACGGCCGCCTGAGTTCGCTGCACTGGAGTTAAGGTCTCGCTTGGACCCCAGGGCCTCAATCCCATCGGCGCACGCATATTCCGGTTGGCCTCCCCCAACGCAAGTGTACACGAAGCTTCTGAACTCGGCTCACCACAACAGATCGGCCGGTTCCAAGGCTTGAGAACACACACACGCACACACGCACAGACATCTATATATATATATATATTTATTTATTTATATATACTATATATATATCCTGCCCACAATGTCTGTGATGAGCTGGTCCTACCCTGACTTTACTTCGGCATCTCTCGCAAGAAGTCAACCAAGCTGGGGGCCTACAAAAAAAGGGCCCTAAATGGCCTGAGTCCTTTGATCACTGCCCCAGCCCTCCCGAGGCCGCTCCTCACAATGGAGACTCCGCTGCTAGAGATTTGGAAGAAGCCCACAACGATCAGGACAGTGTCCAAACACACAACCTCGGCGCATAGACCCCATTCCGCCGGCTAAGCCAGGGGAACCTCGTGGGAAAGTGCGGGGCATGCTCCCACAAGCGTGGGTTTGATCGCTATCTCATGGAAAGTGCGGTTCAACCAAGGACCAGCTGATACCATCTGGCCATCGGTCAAAATCCCGTACCAGGGGCCGTGCCTGGCACAACGTGTGCGAACAACATGGACATGGGATCTAACCCCCCCCCCCCCACACAGCAAGAAGCCAGCACAATTTCTAGTGCACTCGTCTTGCAGGCACTGCTCATTGCACGTCCATGTCATAGCGCTTTCCGAACAATCTCCGGAAGAGGATGGTCTGCTGTAATGTTAACCCTGTATTAGATATCCCCCCCCTATTAGTCCGGTCCCCTACTAGTCCGGTCCGGGTGAACCCCCCCAATACTAAACAATTCATATCTCAGAAAAACCCCACTAAATAAAAAAGGGTTCCAAAACAACCCCCCCCAATTAGACCGGTCCCTCCCCCAGATGGCTGCTGCTATCTCATTTTCTCCACTGCTTCTTGAGCTCATTTCTTAGAAATGGCTGAAAATGTCATCCATATTGACAACTCACATGCATGCAATTCACAGCATGTACTCTGCAATACTAAATCAAATGGAAACTCAATTCCAGATCTCAAAAGGAAGCCCCAGCAATACTAAATCAAATGGAAACTCAATTCCAGATCTCAAAAGGAAGCCTTAGCAATACTAAATCAAATGGAAACTCAATTCCAGATTATTTAGGGGGTCACGGCAAAAAACCTTCCAAAATCTTGCCCCCCCAAAACCTTCCAACCTTCAAGGGGGGGGGGGGTTACAGGCTAATACGGGGTTTACATTAATTAAACACGGATTTCCTACACTGCCCCCTATCTTTGTACTACTTTGGCAGCCAGGAAGATGGAGACCAACAGCTCGCACAAACCAACCTTGCCCCCAACAACCCGAAAAAGCCACCGGAACAAGCTGCACTGCAAGCAGAAGCCTCTGCAACTCGCCTTGCCCTGCTTCAGCTATTCGTTGATTTTTTCCGTCGAACACATGGCAAAGAATCCAACTGGCGTCAGCCAATGATTCAGCATTGGAAAACACAGGCCGGCGTCAAACCAAGTGAACACGTGGGTGCGGCGATTTATCTGCCCTAGACCCTAGATAAATCAAGATGTACAAAAACATGCATGCATCTTGTATAGCTTTTATATGATCATACCTCAAAATGTTGCAAACCCGGTTCATGACGGAAAGGCTTGGAGCGCGCCCCAACACAATGGGTTTGCTGACCTCTATTGGCACAGGACGTCGACCACAATCTCTACACAGGTCCGGCGACAGCAAATTCAAGCAAATGATGGCCTTTCACTCAGGCTTCAGACCCATATGTTCGGGCCCCTATGGTCCATGGTTTCCTCTTTGAACAAATGAGTAGGGACGACTAGCTGTAAACTAGAGGGGGGTGTCAAAAAGAGGTGGCAAAAACAAAAAGCCTGGCAAATGGAAAGGATTAAAATCAAAAAAACCGACCAAAAAAAACAGTCCCCCGGTGGTGACTCATTTTGACTCCCCAGTCGGCGCCGAAGAAGCTGTGAAGTCCAAAAGGTTCCAGCTGTCGTGGAAGTAGTGGCACCGGAATGCGTAGATCTTCACAACTGCTTCGAACGCATACACCTGAGTCAGTCGCCTCCGAACTGAACTGCTAGATGATGGTAAATGCGTCTTCCTGTGTTCCATCCTCGAGAGAGGAAGGATAATTCCAAAATCACTGAAAAACGTGTGGAAAGTACCTTGGCAAACCTGCACTACAAGCGCTCACAGCCATTGCGAATAGCGAATTTATCTAGTCAAACCTCAACCACTTCTTCTTACATTCCTGAACAATCACAAATCTCCATGCAACCTGATGGAAAGGAAACAACCTCTTCTTCTTACATGCGCAAGATCAGCCTTCCAGAATCACAAACTCGATGCTCTTGCTGATGCTCTGTGGAGCCCACCCAGAGCAACACGAAAAGCTGTAAGCGTTGCCCTCGCGTGTTCGCAGCCTGGGAGATACAGCTGCACACCCAATGAACAGGGGTTCCTCAAAGCGAACACGTCATTCCACCGTCGATCCCCGAAGAAAAAGCAAGCCCAGTTCGCCGTCGCTTTTGACCCTAGCCAAACACTGTTGGCAAGGCGATTGCCACTCATTGCAGAATTTTAGACAGCTGCTTGGACTGCGTCCTGATTCTGATTCTTCCCCGAACTTTGCCTCCGCAACTGATTGATTCCATGGAATGCTCACTTCATGAGTGGGCTGGCCACAAACAAGTTGGAACTTTTGATTTACCACCAAGATGGTGCAAGCCCAAAAGAAGCGACTAAAGTGCGAAGGATCCGGTGTGCTACTTTACAAAAAAAAAACATTTTTAGTGATACACGGCCTCTGCCCCGAAGATTCGCGGGTTCACGAAGTGCTCAGAATGAGTTGGATGGGACTGCGATTTCGGCAGCCAGGGCGCCACCAGAAAAAACATGTTCAGCCATCTCATCCATGCGGGCGCCGCTGACCCGTCGGCAGTTGCATCCGTCTCTAAAATAATAATGACCTCAGGTGACCGAGGCCTTACGATCAAATCAGCTGAACCCAGCCTCAAGTGTTCTACGGCCACCTAGTCTGCAAAGCCAAGAATTCCAGAATGACCATGAGCCCCAGGACCACATTTAGCCCAAAAAGCAGCGGAATCAACAAACATTGACGACCGCATGGAACCAGAACACTGCGATGCGGTTGGCCGTCCAGCACAGTTGCAGCCAGGTGGCCACGCTGCAGCCTTAGCCCATCCGAGTCACAAGCTGCGTGCTCCAACATAAGCATGCGTTAAGATGCAACTTGGGCTGTGGACCTGAAAGTACTTGCAGTTTGTTAAATTGGCGCATCAGGCATGCAGTGTGCATTGCCCATTGCGTGCACACGCCTCCTGCCCAGTTCGGTGTGCCATGCATGCACCAGCGTGTCTGTGTGTTTGAGGACGTGGGTGCGGGTGCGTGGCACGTGGGTGGGTGGGTGCAGGGAAAGTGCGCTGCATCGGTGCGTGGGTGCGTTGGTGGGTGCGTGCGTGCGCGTATTTTTGCGTGTTTGTGTATGTGTCTGCATAGTTGTGCTGTCGCGTTGATGTGGTGTATTGTTGTGGTGTGGTGTTGTGGTGTGATGTTTGTGTATTTGTGTATTTGCGTATTTGCGTATTTGTGTATGTGTGTGTGTGTGCGTGGATCTGTGTGTATGTGCGTCTCTGTGCGCGTGCAGGATGCGTGGGTGGGCATGTGGGTAGGCAGCAGAGGTGATTGGTTGGTGGCTTGCGGTTGGTTTGGCTCAGGGTTTAGTTGCGTTTGTCTGGAGTTTCTTATGCATGTGCTCATGCTCGGTTGCGTGTGTGTGTGTGTGTGTGTGGTATGATGTAGCTGTGTGTGTGTGTGTGTCCCTGCTCTGGTGCTTTGCTTGTGTGCGAGAGGGTTGGCGGCTCGGGGGGCCTAACAACTGTCCACAGAATCTTCGATGATTGCAACGTGAGACCGCGCTGGCCGCAGCAAGTTCAAAAACGTTTAATCCAGCACCGCAACCGTGATATCCACCGAACCGAATTCACAATGTGCCAGTCCGACAACAACTAAGAACGTGAACAGTCGCACATTGAGCGGGCAGTGGCCCTACTCGCGTTCAAGGGAGGCATGCTCCTCATATGCGGTCACATGGGATCACCAGTGTTGTCTAGGCAGGCGAGTGAAACCTTAGCATGGGTCCACCAGGGTCCTTCCCTCTCACACAACTGGAAAACCATGGCAGGGACGCATCGCCAGCATCTGCCACCCAAATGACTCCAACAGTTCATTGATATGCACTGCTACAATCAGCTCTCCATAGTTAGGGAGAATCAATGCTTCAAAAAAGCTGGCTGGTGGTTCAAAGGCGTCCAGTACTTCACTCACTCGCATGTTGAACGCTTAAAGATCGGCCATCTGATCGCTGCTTTTGTTTTGCTGCACAACAAAAGCAAATTGCCAAAACATGATTGAAGGGCCGGAACTGTCTACAAAGTGATGGCATCCCCACAGCTCCTGAAGTTGGCCTAAATTGGCAAAGCTCCTCTGCACTTTCAGCATCACCACACCAACTCCTCCAATCATTCGCCAACAGGTCATTCTCAAAATAGCGAAGAATTCCGAAGGGACATGCTCCTCAACTGCGCTTCGCGGAGTTGAATTTTGCAAGGGGCACCTCGGCCCCAGGACAATCATCTTCCCAGCGCTAAAGGGAGCAGCTTCCCGTTTCAAGTCTGCTCTCTCCGTGAGGCTGATGAGGACGCCAAGGATGACTTCCATGGTGGCGGACTTCAAGAACGTAACCACCTGCCACTCGCAACATGAGGTTTGGCAAAAAACAAATGCTACTAATGACAGAGCTAATACCGTCGTACAGCTTCACCAATGCATCCCTCTAGCGAAAAGCTGCTAAGCTTGTTTCGCATGTCTGCTACAGCCCAGCAACAACCGGCTTGACGCAGCGCCTGGTAGGCATTGGAAACGCTACAACACCTAGGATTGGACCCTGCTGACCGAAACTGCGTCACCATGCCTCACCGAACAGTTTTATGAGCGGCGAGTGGCTGTTCCGCCTGCTGAATCAATGTCATGAGCCAGAATCCTCCATCCCGTGAGTAAAAACCACGCGCGCTCCGTTTTGAAAAAGAACAACACAAACACACATGGCAACAAATGGCATCAACTGTCTCACGACGGTCTACCACGTTCCCTACTGTCGGGTGAACAATCCGCCACTTCGAGACTTCTGCGTCTCAATGGTAGGAAGAGCAGGCATCGAAGGATCAAAAAACAACGTCGCTATGAACGCTTGGCTGCTCCAAGCCAGTTATCCCGGTTATCCCTGTGGTAACTGTTCCGCCGCAACGAGATTACAAAATAATGGCTGGCTCAAACATAACATAACACGCTCGCATGACGGTGATGCATGATCACCATGCTTGAAGGCATTGACTCTCTCTCTCTCTCCCTCTCTCTCTCTCTCTCTCTCTCTCTCTCTCTCAGAAACACACAATGGTTCACTCTCACTAAGCTAGCTGTAATCACCTGACTTTTTCCAAACAACTGCGACACACACACACACATACATGCACGTGCGCGCACGTACACCCGCACGCCCGCAAGAACACTCGACTGCCCCCTGCTCACCCGCATACACACATTGACACAAACACACACACACACACACAAGCACGTATGGATGCTTGACTGCGACAATGGTCTTCTATCAATTGCAGTCACGCAAAAGGGATATGAAGTGTCCTGGCATGCTCCGTCAGAACGCGCCTTCTGAAGCATGCACACATTGGCTATCATGTCAATCTACCTCCTCTACGCAACGCTAATATTGAATTCCCAAATTATCGGCTGTCCTCAGGCCCCCTGCTAAAAGTGAATAACTGTGAGTGGGTGAAATGGAACCCTTCCCCCCTCCCCGCCCAACCTAAACCAACTAAAAAGCTAAAGCAGCTACGGGGATGGCAGACCAAGAATTCACCACGGCAGAGGCAGTCAGACTTCGATCCAGCCTGCCGTCTGTGAGGGCTCTCAATGTCGTCCATGGAGTGGCTCCGGGATTTTCGCAGCGTTCGGCCTGTGAGGCACACGGAGTATCCTCTCCTTACGGATTTGAAGTTGTTCTTGCGCCTTTTTGTGAATTCTCGCGCACGCCGGGTAAAGGAGGCGCTCGCCTTCCCTTCCTTGCAAACAGGCGTGCTGTCTCAAACTGGTATGCAAGTGTGAAAGGATCGGCTTCTCACTGCTTGAGTGAATAAGAGGGAAAATGCCTAGCCATCAGGTCCTAGAATCACAGGAGCAGTTCAACCCTAGTGCTTCGGGGCTTGGGGGACACAGTCGAGAACTGTATGGAAGGACAGCGCAAGTGATGGCACTGAACTGGCCTTTGGGCCCTGAAGAATGAGGTCACCACGCAACCCGCCGGTAAGCAAACACCCCCAAGTCCTGCCTTGCTGAAATAAAACATGACTTCTTTCAAACAAGTTGGGGGCAAAAAACCTAACATCCAGCACACAGCTCTTCACTTTCCTTTCCCAGCTTGGCATTCTTCCCTCGGGTTTTTCCAGCCATGGTCAGAGTGAAGAGCTCTGCCGCCGAAAAAAAAAACTACTTCGCTTCGAGCAATCCCCACCCTCCACTCTCACGAGCTTGCGACCGTGAACACGGTTGTGTGAATTCAAGCATGGTTTTCGAGTGGCTTGGGGCCTACGACTGCTCAACAAGCTTCCTTATCCACCTGTCTGTGTGTCAAACACCACTTGTATGCGAGCCGATCTTGAGAACTCAAACATTGGTTCCGTTAACAAAAGCCAAGCCCCTTCCAAAAAGAAACCCGACGGGGGATTAAACGAAGTTGCTTATTCGCAGCCCAAAGCAACACAAAAGCATCACCCTTTCCGAGCCTCAAGGTACACTCAAAGCACGAAGGCACCAACATGAAATGTCAACCCAACTGTGCGCCGGGCGGGACATTAAGCAAAACCAGACTGGCGAGCTGCTCTGGCGAGATACTGGCGGGATCCACTGGCAAATGCTGGCGAGCCGCTCCGGCTTGATACTGGCCGGATACTCGGCAGGATCCACCGGCAAAGGATACTCAGCAGGATGCTCGGCGGGATCCACTGGCGAGCTACTCTGAGCGGGATACTCGCGGGATCCACTGGCGGCTGCTCTGGCGGGATACTCGGCGGGATCCACTGGCGAGGTACTCTGGCGGGATACTCGGCGGGACCCGCCGGCGAGCTACTCTGGGATACTCAGCAGGATGCTCGGCGGGATGCTGGCGGGCTGTGGTGGGATACTCGGCGGGATCCACTGGCGAGCCGCTCTGGCGGGACACTGGGCGGGATCCAATGGCAAGCCGCTCTGGCGGGATACTCGGCGGGATCCAGGATACTCGGCGGGATCATCTGGCGGGATACTCGCGGGATCCACTGGCGAGCAGCTCTGGCGAGATACTGGGCGGGATCCACTCGAGCAGCTCCGGCGGGATACTCGGCGGGATCCACTCGCGAGCTGCTCTAGCGGTAAACTGGGTGGGGGCGTGGTTTAGAAGCATCGCAAACGCGGATTCCAACATAAAATCTAACAACCCCTTCCTGTCGGGTGGGGGGAAAAAAAAAAAAACACCCCCCACCCCACCCCGCCCACCCCCCACCGCACCCCCCACCCCCCAAGGCCCTTGGGCCACGTCTCTCGCCGGGGCACTGTGGCCATGGTGTGGCTCCGAGTCGCCCATGGCCACGCTGGGCGGGGAGGTCTTCGACGCCGACGACACCGCGGCCGCCACGGCCATGCTGCCTCGCAGTCAAGAAGCGACGCTTTGCACCAAGCTCGGTTGACACAAAAACGACTGATCCCCGCCCCCAGTAAGAAGGGAACGAACCAAAACACAAAAACGACGATCCAAGAAGAGTGAACTCAGTTGCTTTCTGCTCCCCTGCTAAAAGTGAAAAAGTAGTGGTTTAATGGAAAACCCATTAGTTTGCAAAAAACAATTATCAAGTACTAACATCCAAGCAATGCACCAAAGAAAGGAAAGCTCGGCACACACGGGCTTATCTAATCCGGTGAACTTTCTGTCCCTATGCAGCAGGTACCCAAGGGAACCACCCTTGAAAACAACGGACAAAGGTTGGTTACCCACTAACACTAGAGGGTCTTTGCTGGGTAAATCAAAGGGGCCTGCAAAAGACCTGCTGGATCTATGATTGCAGGTCTTTTGCCCTCACGGATGCAAAAGCCAAACCAACAAGCTTGCACCGAACAAATCCAAACCATGTTTCCTCCTTGTTTGCGCCTTTAATGATCCAACTGGGGCTCAGCAAGCCAAGTAGGCGTGATCGAAACGTCGAGATCTCTGCTGGAATGGCACTCGCAAGCAAACCTCATTCAAACCTGCCACATGCAAACCTGCCATGCGGGAAGGTGGCTCATTTGACACCTGCCCTCAGCCCAAATATTGCAGGGGCCGCGTTTGACAGCAGCTGAACCATCGCTAACAAGACTGAATCAAACCTTTGCAGCAGCGAACAGAATGACTGAGGCTCTGGAGCGCGCAACATGCGGGGAAAAGGAAGAAAACCAAGTGCGGGGGAAGCAGTAAAATGAGGAGCCAGAAGAGCGTGCACAAAGTGAGACAGGACACACATGGAGAAAAGGAGGGTAAGCGCAAAAGAAAATGAACGAAGAGCGCGAAAAGAATACAACAGAAAGAGCCGCGGAGAATCAAGAGCAAGCAAGCGACAGTGCGGGAAGCAAGCATTGGAAGGGGGGGGTGCTCCGAGTGAGTAAGAATCTGCGATTCAGCATTATGATGGTCCCTCCTTCACAGCTCAACGTGGCTTCCTAGCGCTGCCCCACATCCTCACTTGGTCGAGAGGCCAGCAGCCTGACGAGGTGCAGGTCAGGAAATAGGAGGTGAAAACAAAAAGCCTTTCGGGGAGAAATGGCTGCGTCCGGACAGCAGTCGTCGCAAAGGTGTAGCTCTAGGCTTGCAGATCCACTGTACATGCATGCAAATTCAGGCCAGTTCAGACATAACAGTGTTGGCAAGCATGATTCGCCCTGTAGGTTGGCAGAACCGATGTGTGTGTGTGTGTGTGTGTGTGTGTGTGTGTGTGTGTGTGTGTGTGTGTGTGTGTGTGTGTGTGTGTGTGTGTGTGTGTGTGTGTGTGTGTGTGTGTGTGTGTGTGTGTGTGTGTTTCTTCAGCGTTCACGGCCAGAAACAACTGATCAGTCATGATCAATGATGTGTTGCTTTTATTCTTATTGCCTGCAGGTTCTTGCTTGGGTACAAATGTCACACTGCCAGTTGATAGTTGAACATACCATTCAATGGTACCATTTTGGGATAGGTGCACCACCCATTCTAGTCTACTTTAACGGGGATTGGGATGTTCACTGGGGGTACGGAGTTTTGACCAATGGCCAACTAGCTTCAGGTTCAGCCAAAGAACCTTACACAGTGCTCAGCTCAACTATACACGATATGAAAACTGCATAACTGCAACGCCTGCGTCCATGCATGGAAGGAACATGAGGGAAGCTCCAGCAAAACTGCACCCGCCAAGCCACCTTCCCCTCGTTTGAGTCAACATCCTGACAAAAAAGCCGATGTATTGGCATGGTTTTCCCGGAACAACAAAAACAAAAACACACACACACACACACACACACACATTCTGCCATCTTGAAGCTCCGAGTCTGGAAAACAAATCAACCCCATGGATTGCGCACCAAGAAATCACAGAGTATGCGCAATAAGGATCTACCTGCCTAGTCAATTGACCAGTCGTGATTGACACTATAAATATGCGGATTCCAAGTGAACTGTTCGTACCCGGGTCAAAATCATCAGATACGGTCTTCCGAACCCGATCATCACCCAGCGTCCGCCCAAGACCTATAGAGCTTATGCCCAAATTTAGCGACGCTTTGATCTTGCCATGCTTCATGACCACTTTGCCTGTGAGGGATTGACAGCAGGCAAGACCTATGCAAAAGCCTCCCGTTGACAGCTTGCCTACAGCCGGCAGCCTGCCATGCTGAGGCCACAGAACCTTGCAAAGCTCAGGAAGCCGCTGTGATTAGGGGCTAAGTCTCCGGATCTCACGGGGATCCTGACGGGATTCTTGGCGCGGACGGGATGGCTGACTTGGGGAAGCTGCTTCTGCTGCAAAGAGGAGCATTGAGGGAAGAGTTCCATTGACAGCTCTACAAACACTCCTGCAAAGCACTCTACCAAGGAGGCCTGCAGCACAAAGGAATATTATGAAAATGGCTACGCCTTACTGAAAGTTTGGACCCAAATTTCTCAGTGGCCCCGGATGAGACCCACAAATAAGAGGTGATCACCTTTTAAGGAACCTTGACTAAAAAAACGGTTACCAAACCAGGAAAACCAAAAGGTCAAAGGTCGATTCGCTTTGGGCAAGCAGGTCCTCAGGTGCTTGGCCAGGCGTCTCAGGAGTCAAAAATTGATTGGCCTTTGTCAGCTTCCCAGTGGGTTGGTGGCGGGGTTCCCATTTAAACCAATCCAAACCGCAAGGCCTCAGCGCGACTTTAGGTTCCTTCAGCGCGAGTGGGCGCAAGAAAAGCCATGGTGAGTTGCCGGCAAGTTCTTATGCTGTTCATTGCTCCAAGGGCGTTCTGATTTATCCAGCTCGAGGTGCCCGCGCCCTGCCTTGCACGGCTCTTCAAGGGGGGGGGGGGTTCAACCCGAGTGGTCTATGCGCATCTTGGTTGGAACTCCAATGGGCTGCAACCTCGAAGCAACGTGCTACGCCGGTGCAAACACGCGGCTCCACACCTCCGTCTGGCGAATTTTTGTCTGCCCTCGCGCGCAGAAGGGGTCACAAGGCAATGGGTGAAATGTAAGCTGTTCTCTCAGGCGACAAGCAGGTCCTCAATCCTGGCTGGCAAAATGTCAGCAAAAAAGCGGCAAGTGTGCATCTCTTGTCACCGTGTGGCTAAAGCAGTGGCTTTGGGTAGTTGGCGGTCACAAGCCCTATGATTCAAATGTTGGCGCTTCTCGTGTTTCAAAACGTGTATTCCACCCCGTCCTACGAAGGGATAATATGTTTCATGAGTGAGCACTCTCACAGCATTCCGAGGGCTACCCTCCCAATCTCTCACACACAGTGCCAAAAGAAGCTCGCTAAGTGAAGGACTGGACGACCCAATCTGACTCTCAATTCAGCTGCGAAAGGCGGCATCACGTTTCTGCGTCAGCCTCCCCACTAGGCCTGGAAGCTAGAACTGCCAACTCGATCTGGAGGAAATACAAATACGAAACATCGACCGCATAAATGTCCGTGGAAGCCGTGGGTTTGAGAGATCGTCTTCCTCTCCTTGTGGCAGCCGTAGCCATCCATGGGCTCACCTGTGTAGTTACCACCCTGATCGCAAAGGATCTCAGGCGCGAATCCCTTGCTGCCGCCTCGGACGTGACGCCAGTGACCCCCTCTTGCTTGGCATCAGGTGGACTACGGATGTTTTTTTTGGCCAAAGTGGGGCATGGCTTTTATCGTGATATTACTCTGACAGCCAATCAGCAGCAACACATTTCCAGCAAGATCCTTCCAAATATGGGTGAGAAACATAAACCATGCCCACAAACAGCTTTCTTGTGGAGGTTCTTGCGGGACCTTTCTTGCTATCTACGCACCTTTGTAGGTCGGCGGCTGGCCCTGGGAGACTTTGCCAGGGCAAAAGCGCCTTCAATCCAACTCCCTGGTTGACCCGGCGGAACCTGCCACTGCAGGTGATTGCCACACTCACTCACCTCTGACATCTCCCCTCCCAGTTTCGTACCAAACTGCTGGTGGAAACAAAAAACATTGTCTTGGAAACGCAGATGCCCTGCAGGATTCAGGAGCTCCCCACAGCTGTTAACAACATTGCTACGCATTTAGATGTATAAGCTGAGCAGGCTCTCTCTCTCTCTCTCTCTCTCTCTCCTTCTACCTTTCCGCATCTGAGCTACTAACAACATATAAGCAGGGTGTTCAGGCTTAAGGCTGGATGTAGGAAATCTTCGCACCGTGGCAAACACTTTCTTTTTGGGATGTACCATCACGTGTTGTACCAAACCCACTCTTCCGCGGATCAAAGAAGCTGGCCAGAGTCCAAGAGTCCCCCCAGAATTCGATGAGTTGCTGGCTCAGCTGATGGATCCGACGGAACACTTGGTTGACGTTGAAAGGGGAGCAACAAATTAAACTTTAGCAGTTGAGTGGAAATTTCCCTCTAAACCACAATAAGCAGAAATGTAAATGTTTCCCAACAACAACCATATGTATGCTCCATTCAGACCTCGCTGCCTTTGAACGGAGCCGAGCCGCCCATGAAGTGCACGATCAACAGTCGATCATCCGTCATTTTCAGCTCCTGCTCTTGCAGTCAATGCGATTTCTGACCTTGCCCTCAAACGCTGTCCGTTGGCCCAGTTCAACATAACGCGCTCCAAACCAAGTCGAAATGCAACGGGCAGTTGGCAAAGGCAACTCTTTCGGGGCGCAAGGCCCAAGATCCAAGCACAAGCCAACCCCAAACTGCATGCCTGCCGTAAGGCCCCACCGGAAGCCCAGCCGCAACGCTGGAAAGGGCAGGAAGGAAAGGGCACATCGGCACCAGGCTGAAAGCAAACAGAACCGGCGTTGAACCGGCCGTGTACAAGGAACACTCTGCTTGGTTGCTTGACTCTGGCAAGAGCCCCCGAGAAACGACGCCAAAGCCAACATCAGCACTGGCTATACAGTGAAACCGGAAAAAAGCCGAACTCGGCCGATGAAA